GAGTGTCTAATGTCCTGCAACTGGCATATGATATAGTAATATATTTCAGCTTACTGTGATCTATGTAGTTCAGTAAAGAAACCGATTTGGATGGTTTGCGTAAGGATGGGGGTATATCGTCAAAATGACATTTTTTGGAAGGAACAGATTTTGGGGGGTCTTTTTTTCCTTGATCAGAAATCAGTTAGGAGGAGCAATTCGTCCCCTCGCCATACGCTAGGAATAATGTAAAGTCAAGATATGCACACGGTGAAATACGGACGTTGCTGGCCTTTAAAAACGGCTAGCCGATGAACTGTACATGCATGCTCGCTCGCTTTGATCGTTCAAATCGGATATAATTTCTCATTTACATGTAAATCCTGACCAGCTTCGATATCATCTTTGCAATATCCCATATCTATAAAATGCATGAATATCTTCAAAAACACCGAGTTATTAACAGTTAAGCCACAGTACATCTCATATTTCTGATCGCGAATTGTAGGCCTACTCAGGCATTTAATGCACCGTGATATTTCAAATGGGCGTCGATTATATTTAAATCGAAAGATGATACTCTGAAATGAATAATTCACTCAATTCTTTCTTCAGCCTACCAAAGCACTTACGTCTTTAAAAAAAAAAAATTATATATTGCATTTATAAAGCGCTTAGGCCTACTACAATGTTTCTAAGCACTTATTGTTACTTTTGCACATATCTCTCTCGGTCTCTTTCTCTCTTCCCTTTCTCTCCAATCACTCCACATGTATGCAGCTCTACATCGCCAGATTAGCAAGGAGTTGTAGAAACTTCTTGGTATAAATATCCCTCTTTCTCTGGACATTAATTCCGCTCTACAGATTGCCATTCATCACATTTATTGAATGATTCAGGTCTTATGTCTTATATTTTTTAACTACTCTCTTGCAATCAGTTTTACTGTATATGTGTCATTATTTTTTTAATTTATTTTATGTAAAAGAACTTGCATGCATTCAGACACAAATAAGTCTTGGAGGAAATAAAAGGGGATGTCTCACAAGAAACAGCAGATTGTAAAACTGAAGGAAGTAAAACTCAGCAAGGAAATAGAGTTTAAAATATAACATAAAGACCACCCTTCCCCTACCCTTTAAAAAACAAACTGTGGATTTGTTGGCAAATATTCTTAATTGGATGCGTGGGAGCGCTTCTTTTAACACAACTTACGTTGCTGAAATTGCTGCCAGAAACATAACCTGATCAGTGAAATAACAGGAATGACTAAATCCATTGTAAGATCATGAAGCTGTGCTTATTTAATAAGAAACACATACAAAGACAGAACGGGTACATAACAAACAAAGATTACAGAAATTGATAGAAAACACAAATTTTTAACACAGAATGCATAATTGTTTAATAAAATTGTTTAATAAATAATATAAAAAGAAAGATTATATACATTGCATTAATAAAATGCAGGTCAAAGGTCAATCAAGTGCTCTTGTGTTTTGGTATTTATGCTTACTTACAATGTTAAAAAAGGAGCCTTATAACATTTACATATGATCCCTCCAGGGCTCATATTCATTGAGAAATAATACAAGACTTGAACCATTAAACTATTCTGAAGATTGTTTATAACTTAATTTACTTCAAGTAGTGAACTTTGACAGTAACGCAGGAGGAGTCTGCACCTTTGAATGTTTTTAAACAGAAATATGGCACCACATAAACATGCTGTGAATCATCATCATAATAAACTTTGAAACATTCTCTTATGAATGATAAAAAATTATCTAATTGATTCCTTTCAAAGACAGAGCAATATACACTGGTAACAAAGAAGTGCTGATTATGCAGTTACATAGTTTTCTCCTTTTTTAATTACATGTACAAGTATTTCATTATGATGATTATTGCACATTTACGATGTGTTATACTTAAAGGATCCACTTTGTTGGTGGTACATCCTCAGCACCCCCACCCCCCCCCCCCCTCCATCGCCAAAGTAAGAAAACAAACTGGATACAAATGTGTTTATGCTGCTTGTAAGTATCGGCTTGCATTGTGATGTAGATATACAGTAGGCTGTGTTTATGTTTTGGGTAAACATGAAAAATGTAAGAACTTATTTTTTTTGGTTCATCAAAAATCCACTTCCTTTCATGAAGTGCTTACAGTGGATTGTCCCAACTTGAAAGATTGGTGAAGTGTGAAGTCATCAAAAATCTATTTTTGAAATTTCTCAATTTTTTCTTCATTTTCCGAAAGAGTATAAAAAATAATGTCCAAATGTCGAAAACCAATTGAATGTGTTAAGTATTGGCTGAGATATGACCATCTGGAACTCAGTGTTACATATGGCTCTGCATCATAATGTTACGAGCCAGGGCAATATAACACTGAGTTCCTATAGGAAATCTATTTATTTAGATGGTCATATCTCAGCCAATACTTGATATATTCAATAGGTTTTCGACATTTGGACATTATTTTTTATGCTCTTTCGGAAAATGAAGAAAAAAATGAAGAAATTCCAAAAATATATTTTTATGATGTCAAAGCTTCTGTACTCAATTGCCTTTTATAGCTTGAAGCTATTGCTACCTTGAATAGGGTGAAAGTCTGTGATTGTAAACACATAATTTCAGAGTACACCTACGCAAAATACAATCAATAAAACTTTTCAAACGCTCATGATCAATTCTGATCATTTGAAAAAGATGATAGGGTTAAATTACTGAAAACTCACAAGATTGAATACATGTAAACTTGCAATAAATAGTGAAATTACATTTGCATAATTATCATAATTGCATTGTATTAATTTGATCAAACAATAAACCTTCCCCCGAATGGCCACAATTAGCATAATTTAAGATCTTTGACCAAAGAGGGACACATTTATATTTAAAAAGTTTTGGTAATGAACAATTCCATTTCACAGTATTAAAAGTCTATTTGAGTAAAAAGGAATGGAACTTAGTCTTATTTTTATTTCTAGAAAATAATTCGGAAAGTGAAGTTTTATGAGCAGTTGAGCATTATATACGAATAAATCAATTTGAATCTTTCAAAACATATGAGAAAACAAATACCTATTTAGATACTTGTGAATACCATTCAGGCAAACAAGTTATACTGTTTTGATACAAATCTTGCTCAAATGCACATTTAGAATGTGAATTTTTCCGAAAGTTAAGCCGGGACTAAGTCCAGACTAAACAAGAATTTTAATTCACACTTCTATGGAATGCTAGGTTTCATCTTCCTCCTTCAATATTCATGACAAAGATAATCTATCAAAGACTTTTTGGAAATTCAGTTCATACTCATATTATCTTTTTCTTCCCATTTCATTGCAAAATTAATTTTTTGAGACTTTTCATTGAAGGATTAAAATAATCTGTACAGGATAATTGAGTTGACAACAGGCACTCCATAAAAGTGTGGACTAACTTAGTGCGCGCTAACTTAGTACGCGCTACCAGAATACCACCCACTATCATTAGTAACTGCAAAAATTTAAACAAAAGAGGGCAGCATGGTGACATTCTTTACCACTCACAATTGAGTATGGTTGGCAAATTTGGGCATCAAAACAAAAACGATTTATTAGTTCAATTCACAGAGTTGTCCATCCACATTTACTCTACGCCATATACATGTAGCAGACCAAGCAGATTGTGTCTGAGGATAACCCATGCAATGCAATTTGAATTAGGCATTAGATGCTTTTTCCACAGACTTTAACTTGGCTTGGGATTCAGAGGGTTAAATCGATTCAAAGTGTTAGAGATAACACATTTAGAGTTGTCCTCTTTTCTTTATAAAATGATGTGAACATGATACAATCCTGGTCTTGGAGATGGTTTTGTGGAAGTTCCTTTGAGAGAATTTCCACCATCTGCTAATTTTCCCCGAAACTGAAAACAAATGTAATAGACTACTGTAAGTAACTCTTATGGAGCCACATTGGCAATAAATCTGTTTGTATCAAGTGCATTTCCTTGAGGCTCCAACAGATGATAAGGCCTGTAGTTTGGATTGATGACTAAACAGGTCTTACACATTTTGCATGCCAATCAAACACGATAAAGAATCTACCCCTGGAAGAGAAATCTCACAATAAAATCTCCTGAACCACAATGAATGCTCTCCAATCTCTTACAGGCCACCGTCTATGATAAGGCTGCGATGAGTACTTGAATACTCCAGTACTCGCACTGTTGAATAACTACTGGAATACGTTTTTCGTACTCGAATACTCGGCCGCGATTTTTAATTTTTTTAATTTCTTTTGCCATTCACCTGGCACTGTTCAGGCCGACGTTTACCCATGCCCGGGAGCTAGCGCCGGCATGGTACCGTTGCAGGGGTGATAGTGAGCACTAAAAAAAAAAATAGGTTTTTTGTTTTCCCCTCAACCACGCCCCCCGTGAGTAAAAAAAAAGAAGAGGATTCGCGGGGAAAAAATGGCATCTAACAACATTCCACCCTTTCGTGTAAGAAAATTGGGAAAAAAATAGGGCTAAATAGGAAAGAATAGAGAAGATAAAGGGGAAATCGGGAAAATCAGGTTAAAAAAGGGAAGAAAAAAAAATTGGTAAAAAAAAAAAAAAAAAAAATCTGGATTTTTTTTTTTTTTTTTTTAAATCGGGAAGAAAAAAAAAATCGGGAAAAAATCGGGAAAAAATAAAAAAATCGGTAAACCGATTTAAATCGGGTTTTTATCAGGCCTGCGTTGGTAAAAATGTTTCCAGCTCAATCACTGTCAACTGGGAAACTGGGACCAAATGTCCAGATTTCTGTTTGGACTTGGAGGAAAAAAAGTCTGTCATCTTTGGTTTTAAAAACAGCATTGTTTACTATTATTATAATTATTAAATCGGCGCCTTCAACTGCAACTCGAAGTAAAATTGTGTGAGTTTTTGGAGATGGACCTGGGATACTTCTAGCGTAGTATGGTGGTGGCAACAACAACAAAATATAAATATATATATATATATATATATATATATATATTTTTTTTTTAAAAAAAAACATGGCGTCCGAGTATTCGCCTGTAAGCCTAGGAGTGTACTCAAGTACTTCATTACACCGTTATGCACAGCCTTACTCTACGAGATTCAAAATGAGTTAGTGACTTAGTGTCCTACCAGCTTTTACTCCATGAAAATCCACTAAGTCCAGTGAAAAAATTATCCATTGATTTCAGTTTGAGTGAACTGTCTCACTGAATACAGAGGAAGTTCCACAGAACCAAAATCATGGGTTCATGAACAGTCATATCATATGTACTCATTCAAAGAAGTCTTTGATGTTTCTTCCGGTAGCCAGGGGTACATCATGTTGCCCCCATTGGGCCTTGCGTTTGGGGCGGAGCCATGGAGGGGAGCGGAGGAAGGAACATGGACTTCAGTCTCGATGCCATCTCTGCTACCTCGTTGTCAGCAGACTCGTACTGCCGCACCGTCTGGGCAAACTTGATTGCACCTTCAGCAAAAATAGAAAATAGAAAAGGCCTTTCAGCAAATTGTTCCTTCTTTTAAACATATTTTGATGAGATTTTTCTGAAATATGTCTTTGGTGATAATTTCCAACCAAATTGTTTATATTTTTAAATAACCTATTAATTTTTTTATTTTTTTATTTGACAATGAATTTATCTTAAGAAATTTTGCATGGATCGGTAACATGGCTCTGGTGGATAGAGAATCAAAATCTATACAAACATACAAATATATTCACCTGTATTACATTTTGTGTATTTTCATCATTATTTTTCCTGGCATTGGCTCAAAAGAGACATGTTATCCTAAAAAATAATGGCGGATTCCTTCAGCTTGGAACTATTAACTGGTTACAGAAGGAGAGCAAACGTACAGCTATGATACAGCAGATTGTGCAGATAATTGCCAAAAGCAGCACGTCTTAATGCAATGGAATGACTATTCGAATGCAACCCAGGCCATTGTGAAATCTACCAGTAGGTCACTTGCTATGAACCCCTGTTGGCCCTGCTTCTAAAAAAAATTGTCTTTAATGCCTGGTCCATATTACCTTCTCCATCAGGTGTGAATCCATACTTCTGTATCGCCTCCATCTGAATCTGTGTCGCAGCTGGGAAGACAAGGTGCATCATATGCATCATATCATTGCCTGCTGCTTCTTTCTGCTTGTCCATCAAGGCCTTGTTTTCAGGACTGAGGAAGGCATCAAGGACATCCCTCAAAGCAGCTGAAATCATCAAAATGTTACTCATTTATTCCATTATTCAAAATGGTTCCTTATAAAGAATCAATGTTACATCCATATGGCGAAACTGGTCATGGTTTTCAACTTTTCATATCATACATTAAGGCTGAAATTATAGATTAAATTATATTAAAGGCACATTTTACTACTTGTAGCTACTTGCCCCCTCTATATAACAATGCCTAATCGGTGACCGTTGGTCTCCTATATGGTCCCCTTTTTCTTATGTTAATTGAGAGCTGATTTGATGAGATAACCACCAATCAGTGACCTTGCACGGAGGTCTAATCCCTCCTGGCAAAATTAGTGCAGATAGGCTTTAAAGGCTATGATCAGTGTATATGGGGCATCATGGGAGGTTATTCTACAACAGTCGTCATTTACAGAAGGGGTATGTGCATATTGGTACTATTTCCATCTGGAAAAATATGGTACATAGAACCTGTCTCAGACTCATGCCATGGCCAATTAACTGGTTGCTTAACTGTTTCCCTTACCCAACTGTCTAAATTATCTAAAGAAATGCTCTTTTAGCAAGGCTCCACACTTGTTTGTTTTTTTGGAAGGGGGTCCAGATTTGTATACATGAGTCCTATGTAAAAATGTTTAAATTTGAGGATCCGGAGTTCCGAATTAGATTTTGGGCACCCATATATGCAAGGCACCTCTTAGTGCCAAGTCCTACTTTTAGGCTCCTTTCTATGACTGTGTACAATTTAGTTCCAGAAATAGCTAAATAAATAACCATTAAATATCAAACACTCTAGACAGAGTCTAACATTAACTCAGTCATTAGCGACTACAACTTTCATGATATCAACATCCAATGATAATGTAATATCAACTGATTTAACAATCAACCTTCTCATCAATAACAATAATAATTCAACAAATGATATAAGAAATTTATAACATAAACAAGGATCTATTAAAGCTTGTAATATTTGGCAATGTTAACAATAAACAACAATCATAAACACAAAGCTGGGGTAGAAGTTAATTAACACGCGGTGCTAGTGTACTTTTGCACCACCACTGGGTATGCTGCATTTCATCACACACATTAGTTTCCTCATTCCCAATCCATAGACTTAGCACAGAATGAAGCATGGCAAAGCCAAAGGGCCGGTACGAAAGTACAAGACTTTGAATTGAGAGCCCAATATGATTGCAGCCTTGCAGGGCTCTCTATCACCATCATAATAAGACAGAAATATCTGTGTGGTATAAGGAATTATTTAATAAAACTTACATTTGCTAACCTTTCCCACATAAAGACAGTAACCTAGAGTAAAGGAGCCGGTAATCGGCCAGCTCCAGTTTTCGGCCGATTGGTTGGATGCAAGGTAAAATCACTCTAAAATACATCGCATAATAGCATAACACATATCCCACACATACCATACCATGCCAGTGTCACTGAAGAACCACATTTGCAATGGAAAATATATCCTAAAATATCACATTTTAGCGATGTAATCGCCGGTTCCGCTACCCAAATCTGAAAAATCGAGTATCTTACGCGTGTCTGTAAGAAATATGGGTACCATAAAATGAGCTTTATTTCAAGTATTTTTCAGATTTAGAGCCCGATTTTGTGCTAGTCGCAAGCTCAAAAGTATCTCATCGCATGTATTAAATCAATGCAGCCGCACACCGCGACACACACACGATATCTCTGTCTAATTCAGATTCCAACTTCCGATCACCGCTGTGCCTGTCTTCGGCCAGGCGAGCACCAGGGAGCTCCGGCGTGGGATACCTGCTCCGCCCGCTTGTGCTGTACATCAGCGCGGAAACGCACACGGCGCGTGCGAGCGCTTCCTATTGACTTTGTACATGCGGCCGTAAACTGAAACGCCGATAACTGGCTCCAAAACAGTGAAAATTGAAATGAATATTGTCATGGCAATTCGTGATTTTTTTCTGGGATTCTTTTTTTGTTTAAATAATAATAATATTTGCTTCATGATTTGAACAAGAAATGATAATAAATAGGAAGTAAAGAGTCCTAAAAATAGGATTTTGTCTTAAGTGGCCGAAAACGGGCTCCTTTACTCTACAGCACGCGCAAGGGTAGGCACATTCATGGGGCACTAGAGGGCGCTTCGCTCGCGTACGACAATCTGAATGGCCTTGCTGCGGTGGGTCGGCAATAATCAGCCCAAAACTTGGATATGGGAGGTTGGAAGGATATATCTTTTTTATAATGTTATCCGGTCTTACCCTTAACCATCCTATGTTTAATCTATGTAGAAATAACATGCGAGTGTGATAAGAGAATCATCGGGCCCATTACTGAAGTAACTTTTTAAATATTAGCCTAGAAATGATCACCAAACAGAAAAAATTGACATTTTTTCCCGACAAATCTTCATAAAATCTGAGTTATAAACAAGTCACATCTAGGTACACTAATACAAATACGATTTTCTGAAAATTCAGGTATGATTTATTAAGTTTATTTCAAGTATATTTCTGCGCATTGCAGCGCCAATATTCTACACTGCTTCAAAATCACACTTGAATTTTTTTTTTGCAACGAATTTGATACGAGGTCCGCGAGTGTTCCCCGTTCCTTGCGTGTTGAAAGTTTGGTAATACATAGTTTGCATTGACTCGCGCACGAAAAAATGGTCGAAAACAAAATGTCAAATGAAGAAATAAACAAGCTTTTGTATAGTTATTAGAGTTCTACCGAGGTTTCTTTGTCGATTCAATTGATTATATAGTCTCAATTAGAATTCAGAATTATCTCACTGAAAAGTTAAGAAACCGACGATGTTCTCGATCTTAGTTATTTTCATTTTGCCAGCAGCCGATCTAGCGTTGTTTGGGCAAAAAGCTAGGCCGCTGCCTTCCCACGCGAACCCTTCCGAGTCCCACTAAAATGGCGCTCTGCGGAGCTCCGAAGCTGCGTTGGTATGGCTGCAAACTCTCAGCCGGCTAGCTCCCCACGAAGGACCATTCGCGGTATGGCGAGAGTGTGTGTGTGAAGTATGATTTTGGATTCGAGAACGCACGTAATGCAACCGTGCGCGTCATTTTCAGCTGTCGAATGTATACGACCAATTTTACATGTACGATTTTTAGTACAGATACTTGGTCAGTTTTCTTCTTATATCTTTGGTTTTACAACATTTAAAAATACAATTTCTTCAAATTTGCTCCTGACTCGGTTCAGACTAATTGTCTGATGTGTTTTCAAGTCAATTTTTTTTAATAGATTTTTTGCATGAATTTGCCTAGCAAGGGAAGATTAAAACTAGACCTAGACTAGTCTAGATTCTAGCAACAAAAAAATCACTGGAATCCGACAAAAAAAGCTTGCCCTCGGTTTTTCGTTGTTTTGATTTTAGACTCGACAGTATGATTTGGAAATATGACGATTGGAAAGAAAATAGATCACATTTTCACATATTATAAAAAATAACTTTGAAAATCATTATCATCATTCATCAACGACAACGACACGTTCAACTTTCTAATGTAGATCTAAGTAGGGTCTAGGGCTAACATGATTTTAAATGCATGGGGCTATTGTGAAAAAATGACAAAAAGAACATCACTACAAACGTCCAAACATGTAATTAATTACCCAATACAAATTTTAGAACGTGAAAAACATTACCAAAATACTCAAAATGATTGAATCAACTTACATCTCGTCCTATCAAGCGATAAATTTGGTTGATTCACCTGCGCCATTGTGGCTTTCATCGAAAGGGTGCGGTGCGGTGCGGCGCGGTGTGGTGTGCTCAACGCACCCATTCGATAAAAGAGGGGGGCCTTTTCTCGAAAGGGTGCGTTGAGAGCGGAGTACCGTTTTAACACACCCTTTCGATGAAAGCGGGGGGGCTTTTCTCGAAAGGGTGCGTCGACTAGTCTTTCGCATCAGTCGTTTAAAATGAGGATCTCGGACAGAAGGTAATAGTTGCCAATTTAAGTATATCGAAAATGTATTGAATAAAATGGAATGGTCTTGATTACAGAGTGGTCTCTTTGATGGGGGAGACAGAGAGAAGGAAAAAAGGGAAAGGGAAAGGGAAGATAAAAGAAAGAAAGAAGAATAAGAAGAGAAGAGGGAAACGGGGGGGGGGGCGAAGGACTCTTGCCCCCCCCCCCCCCGCCAAAAAATAAATAAGAGAGAGAGAGAGAGAGATGCATGAGGGAAAGGGAAAGGGAAAGAGAAGATAAAAGGAAAGGAAAAAGAGGGAAACGGGGGCGAAGGGCTCTTGCCCCCCCCCCCGCCAAAAAATAAAAAAGAGAGAGAGAGAGAGAGAGAGAGAGAAGGGAAAGGGAATGGAAAAGAGGAAAGGAATATAAAAGGAAAAAAAGAAGAAGAAGAAGGAAAGATGGATACGGAGGAAGGGCGAAAGGTTCTTACCTCCCCCCCCCCCCCCACCCCCTCCCGCCAAAAAAATAAATAACAGAGAGAGAGAGAGAGAGAGAAGGGAGAGGGAAAGATAATCTAAAAGGAAAGAAAGAAGAGGAAAAAGAATAAGAAAAGAGGGAAAGGGGGCGAAGGGCTCTTGCCAACAAAATAAATAAGAGAGAGAGAGAAGGGAAAGGGAAAGAGGAAAGGAATATAAAAGGAAAAAAAGAAGGAGAAGGAAAGAGGGAAACGGGGGAAGGGCGAAAGGCTCTTACCCCCCCCCCCCTCCCGCCAAAAAAAAAAAAAATAAGAGAGGGAGAGAGAAGGGAGAGGGAAAGAAAATATAAAAGGAAAGAAAGAAGAGGAAGAAGAATAAGAAAAGTGGGAAACGGGGGCGAAGGGCTCTTGCCTCCTCCCTCCCCCCCCCCCCGCCAAAAAATAAATAAGAGAGAGAGAGAGAAGGAAAGGGAAAGAGAAGATAAAAGGAAAGAAAGAAGAGGAAAAAGAAGAAAAGAGGGTAACGGGGGCAAAGGGCTCTTGCCTCCTTTCTTTCCTATTCTCCCTCTTTTTCGTTTTTCTCTTTCTTTCTTTTCTTTCTTCTCTTTTCTTTCCTTTCTTTTCTTTTTTTCTTTTCTTTTTCTTTTTTTTTCCCTTTTACTCTCCTTTTTCCCCTCCCCCTTTTCTCTTTTTTCCCGACGGCAGCGCAATTTTACCGACAATATCCTGACAGGTGGGGGGGGGGGGTGTCGCACCCCACACCCCCTTTGGAGACGCCCCTGCCTTCGCCATTTCGTATTTTCGTATTTTCTCTATGAACTTGTTTAATGGACAATAAATAATATTAAAAACATGAATACTATAGCGGTATAATGATGAGAGAGATGATTTAAGTCATACTTTTTTTCAATGTGATTGGAGTGGACTTGAGGGTGGGGGGGGGGGGGTCCCCCTAAGATCTCGGCCGTTTCACAGCCGATCGCCGCGAAAATGCATATTTATGGTAATTTATGCAAACAAGGTCAGAGAATTCACATTTTTACCCATAAATCATATATAATTCATATTCGAGCGTTCTTTTTCACTTCATATATTCGTTAGAATAATAAAACGACAACAAAGTTGGAAGAGCCAGTTTATCCCTATGTTATCTCTTGTTTTGATAATTTGTATTTATGTATTATATTATTTTGTTATTTCATTTCATTTCTAACCACAATTCAACTATTTTTACCCAAAATCAAACACATTTACTTGAAACAAGACCAAATAACCAATGTTTTCTCTTTTTTTAAAAGAATAAATGGTATTTCCATATGTTTGGTACATAAATCACAAAATGAGCGATTTTAGGGCTAACATGCAAAAACAAAAGGTCACGTGACTCCGCAATTATACGTCCGATTTTCAACAAAAAAATGTTTCAAAAGATGCGTAAGACTCGAAAGAAAAAAGTCATGAAAGAAAAACTTTATATCTGCCGCGGTTCCGGAGTAGTCGCGAAATTACTAGAGAGCACTAATCTTTTTTGGGGCCCTCAAAATTTGAAAAAACGTACCCCCCCCCCCCTTGAACGCCAGGGGGGGGGTATCTCCCAAAAACGGTAAAAATTAACGTGTTTTTTTTTACACGTTTTTTTCACAGGGCGGAGCCCTCAGAAGCTCAGGGGTATTAAACATCAAAATTAACGTCGGGTGAGCATAATTTTATACCTTATTTGTGACAGTGGCAGGACACAATTTGGTGTTGGGTCCAGGGGCGGAGCCCCCAGAAGCTGAGGAGTTTTGTCCATTAAATAATTATTATTTTATACCTTATTTGTGACACAGGGGTCACGAATTGGCGTGGGGTCCAGGGGGTGGAGCACCCGGAAGCTCAGGGGTTTTGGGCAATAAATAACGGTCAGATGAGCATATTTTTATATCTATTTGTGACACTGGAAGGACACAAATTGGTGTTGGATCAAAGGGGCGGAGCCCCAAGAAGGTGAGGGGTTTTATACTTCAAATTATCGTCAGATGAGCATATTTATATATCTATTTGTGACACTGGCAGAACACAAATTCTTCTTCCTCTTCCTCTTCTTTCTTTCCTTTTATCTTCTCTTTCCCTCTCCTTCTCCAACATAAGATGCAAGACGGATATATATCGACTCACCTTCTTTCCAAGAACCATACGGGCCTGGAATTTACTTTCCCCCCCCCCCCCCCCAGCATCTTTGCCTGCGACGCAGTCGAAACCTTCAAAGCCAGACTCTGGGAAGCCATTCAAGGGGGTAATATAATCATAGTCCCTCCCCACAACTGCAATGTGATGGGACTTTATTCTAAAATGTTCTAGAAGCAACAAACACTCTCTCTCGAACGATAACGTTCTTATTGGTCATCTTTATATCCCTCTTGAGGATCAGGACCAGGATCAGAACAGATTCTCTCTCTCTCTCTTATTTATTTTTTGGCGAGGGGGGGGGGGGAGGGAGGAGGCAAGAGCCCTTTGCCCCTGTTTCCCTCTTCTTTCTTTCCTTTTATATTTTATATTTTCTTTCCCTTTCCCTTCACTCTCTCTCTCTCTTATTTATTTTGTTGGCGGGGGGGGGGGGGCAAGAGCCCTTCGCCCTTCCCCCGTTTCCCTCTTTCCTTCTTATTCCTCTTCTTTCTTTCCTCTTATATTTTCTTTCCCTCTCCCTTCTCTCTCTCTTATTTATTTTTGGCGGGGGGAGGGCAAGAGCCCTTCGCCCCCGTTTCCCTCTTTTCTTCTTCTTCCTCTTCTTTCTTTCCTTTTATCTTCTCTTTCCCTTTCCCTTCTCTCTCTCTCTTATTTATTTTGTTGGCAAGAGCCCTTCGCCCCCTTTCCCTCTTTTCTTATTCTTTTTCCTCTTCTTTCTTTCCTTTTAGATTTTCTTTCCCTCTCCCTTCTCTCTCTCTCTCTTATTAATTTTTTTGGCGGGAAGGTAAGAACCTTTCGCCCTTCCCCCGTATCCATCTTTCCTTCTTCTTCTTCTTTCTTTCCTTTTATATTTTCTTTTCCTTTCCCTTCTCTCTCTCTCTCTCTCTCTCTCTCTCCTATTTATTTGTTGGCGGGGGGGGGGGGAGGAGGCAAGAGCCCTTCGCCCCCGTTTCCCTCTTTTCTTCTTATTCTTCTTTCTTTCCTCTTATATTTTCTTTCCCTCTCCCTTCTCTCTCTCTTATTTATTTTTGGCGGGGGGGGGGAGGGCAAGAGCCCTTCGCCCCCGTGTCCCTCTCTTTCTTTTTCCTCTTCTTTCTTTCCTTTTATCTTCTCTTTCCCTTTCCCTTCTCTCTCTCTCTCTTATTTATTTTTTTGGCGGGGGGGGGGGAGTAGGCAAGAGCCTTTTGCCCTTCCCCCATTTCCCTCTTTCCTTCTTCTTCTTCTTTCTTTCCTTTTATATTTTCTTTTCCTTTCCCTTTCCCTTCTCTCTCTATCTCTCTCTCTCCTAATTGTTGGCGGGGGGGGGGGGGAGGAGGCAAAAGCCCTTTGCCCACGTTTCCCTCTTTTCTTCTTCTTCTTCCTCTTCTTTCTTTCCTTTTATCTTCTCTTTCCCATTCCCTTTCCCTTCTCTCTCTCTCTCCTATTTATTTGTTGGCGGGGGGGGGAGAGGCAAAAGCCCTTTGCCCCCGTTTACCTCTTTTCTTCTTCTTCCTCTTCTTTCTTTCCTTTTATCTTCTCTTTCCCTTTCCCTTCTCTCTCTCTCTGATTTATTTTTTGGCGGGGGGGGGGGGGGGGCAAGAGTCCTTCGCCCCCCCCCACACCTTTCCCTCTTCTCTTCTTATTCTTCTTTCTTTCCTTTTATCTTCCCTTTCCCTTTCCCTTTTTTCCTTCTCTCTGTCTCCCCCATCAAAGAGACCACTCTGTAATCAAGACCATTCCATTTTATTCAATACATTTTCGATATACTTAAATTGGCAACTATTACCTTCTGTCCGAGATCCTCATTTTAAACGACTGATGCGAAAGACTAGTCGACGCACCCTTTCGAGAAAAGCCCCCCCGCTTTCATCGAAAGGGTGTGTTAAAACGGTACTCCGCTCTCAACGCACCCTTTCGAGAAAAGGCCCCCCTCTTTTATCGAATGGGTGCGTTGAGCACACCACACCGCGCCGCACCGCACCGCACCCTTTCGATGAAAGCCCGCCATTGTCGATTTTTTTTTTTTTCTTCTTCAGAACTGTGATGAACAACCACGTAAAGTAAATTGGAGCCGTTTTAGCGAAATTCAGTGCTATAATTCTATGCAATATGTCTATAATGAAATTGTACCAGCTCGTAAATTCCTGTATTGGAAGACTATGTCGTGGGTTTTCTTTTTAAACTGTATATCGTGGACAGGATTTATGTGTCACTGCAGACTAAATCTAGAAATCTACTAGAATACCAAATGGCAAATCGAACATAATATCGAAGCAAATCAGAATAAACTCTTGTCATTCCTTGGATTCTAAAGCTTCAACTTTCTTTTTCCCCCTCCTTTTTATCTTTTTGTTAGATAAAGCATTTTGTTTCCCCTCAGAAAAAAAGTAATCTCTACTTTGCACACTACCATTTCTAAATTTAAACTAGCGTGTTACATAATTATGTAGTTTTAATATTGGTTGGCATTGTAATGGTTTATATTGTATATTATTATATTCATGAATAATTTATATTTTATGTTTTGAGTAGAAAAATAAAAAGAATTTTAAAAATGCTTTGAAATGTTGGTAAATATATAGCATACTTGTATATCGGCTAATTCATTGTGAATTTTTTAGTAAACAGCATACATTATACATATGTTGTCAGTCACACTGTTAGCTCATTAGGAATTAGTACATTATTATGCCCAGGCGCGTACACAGGGGGGTGTTTGGGGGGTTAAACCCCCCCCCCTAAATTTCTCTAAACCCCCCCCCCCCTCCCCCCCTTTTGGATTTTTTTTTTTATTAAATAAAAAATAAAAAAAAAAAAAAAATATTCCCATGGTTGACCTAAAAAAGCTGACCTTACCCCCCCCCCCCAACGGAGCAAAATGTCTAATTTTGAAATTTCGAGACCAAAAAAAAAAAAAAATGTGTCCTCTTACCCCCCCCCCCCCCCCCCCCCCCCCCCCCCCCCCCCCCGCTTATTCAGCGGACGGCTGAGTCGTTGCGATTTTTTTGGGATAAAAAAAAAAAAAAAGTGACCTCTTACCCCCCCCCCCCCCCCCCCCCCCACCCGCTTATTCAGCGGCTGGCTGAGTCGTTGCGAAATTTTCGGCCCGATTTATAAATGTTAACCCCCCCCCCCCCTTGAAAAAATCCTGCGTACGCGCCTGATTATGCTCACTAGATCATTATCAAAATGAAAACAAGGCTTTCTTATAAGTTTTAGGAGCAGACATGTCAGAATAATCTACACTAGTAAATTCAATTATGAAACCAAGTTATATATTTAGTCACTGACTTCTGATTATGTGCTTTCAGCATGACAGAGAGAGAGAGAGAGAGAGATGGGGCAGCGGGGGGGGGGGGGGTGCGGCGGTAAGAGAGCAGAGGAACGGAAGAACGACTAACAAAAAAAACCAAAAAAAATCTCATAATTTAATGATTTATACAGTAAAGGAAAGAGCAAACAGAAGGATGACCGGCATACAATATTATATGCTTCAGAATGCAACACACTCCACTTGCTTCGGCATAAATTACAACACATTTTTAGAAATAATACGTTTCTCTATGTAGGTTGTATGAGATCTGGAAAAAATCATCATGCGTGACAAATTATGGGTAAAAGAATGAAGGACCAAAAGGACCAGGGTCGACAAAATAATAGTTTCATCGATCTGAGTTTAATTCCACTTAATAACATTTTGAGGAATTTTCAATATCAGTTGCATACATTTATAGGATTTCCAATGGGCGGGCAGGGGTACATGCCGTACAAGAAATTTAATATAACATTCATGAAAAACTTTAAAACAATGTTTTGCAAAGGGAAATAGAAATATATACAGATGAAAAAGATGTGAAAATTGGGTACCACTGTGAAATCGGGGGCAGCTCTATTTATTTTTCTTATAGTTGAAGACTACCCCCCTCCCCCCCCCCTCCCTTTCAAATTTTAATAGACTATAATAGCTTATTGAACGTTGAAAAGATTTTTTTAAAAATTTATCCCTTTCAATTTTGGAGCTTTACGCGTAGTAGAGACGTACTGGTAAGGGAGGGGGGGTTGGGGGGGGGGGCTCAGGGGGTTGCCACCCCCCCCCCCACACACACAATAAAGTTCCTCGACCAAAATATTTATTTGACAAAAAGAAGGAAAAGAGAAAGAAAGAAAAAGGAAAGAAAACATAAGAAAAGGAGGAAAGGGATCGAGGCCGCGAGGCATAATTTTTGTTAACCACAGCCACTTTCTTTCGTAAAATAATTCCATTGGTTCCATAATTATACCGTCAATTAACATTATCAAGCTACGATTTTTTTTTGTAGGGTCTGTTATTTCTTTCTCTAGCTTTGCGGGGTCTATCTTCTTAAACAAAATTTAAAGAGCATATTAAGTCCACGCCCTCAGAAATATATACCTTAAAAAATGTATTGTCCGAGTAAAACAGGAGATTATATTTGTTTGTTATGGTTTAATTTTCTTTGCAAGGAAGAGGGGGTATGTGATGACATGGAGAAAGAGATACCAATATAGAAGAGAGAGAGAGAGAGAGAGAGAGAGAGAGAGAGAGAGAGAGAGAGAGAGAGGGGGGAGAGAGAGAGAGAGGGAGAGAGGGAGAGAAGGGGGGGGGGATCCGGAGAGCCGAGGGGAACCTCTCCCTTTCTCAATGGTATAACGGAAGTAGAAAACTATGCTCATTTTAAGAGGAAATCAAAGGAATACCTAATACTTGAGAGTCAGAGAAGAGAAGTGAATGACATGTTATATGATTTAAATTTGTATTCTTCTGCCAGTTTATACTTTTTCATTTTGTATATACTTATGTTTTTGTACGTTATAGAAATTCTACCCAAAAAAAAATCATCATCATTTCCTCTTCTTCCTCCTCCTCCTCCTCCTCCTCCTCCTCCTCTTTTTCTTCTTCTCCTTCATCTTTTTCTTCTTGTTCTTATTTTCATTTCTATCATAAGTTTAATGTTGTTATTATTATTATCTTTAATAATTTCCCCCTTAATTATCTGTCTGTAAATATTACTATTTTAACTTATTAATTGTGTACATGTCTGTAGGGGACCCCACTGTATAAGCTCTCGAGAATCGTGGGTTATCCTGTTCAAGCTGACTCTAATTTTGATCTGTTATTCCTGTATATTATTGTTGTATGTTGGAAGCTTGTCGAATAAAAATAAATCAATCAATCAATCAATCAATCAATCGGTCCCTCTATTCTTCTCCACCTTGACTTGCACGAATAACCACTTGATGAACTTACGTGTACAAAGAAATCCCGTTTTGGGCTACAGTCCGGATCTAACGCATGCGCAGCTCATTAGTTTGGCGTTGCCATTGAAAGAGGAAAGATGGAGAACTACAGGGTAAGTAAAGTTGACTTACCTCAGAAAAGTAATGAATTTATGTTTTTCAAATATAGAAAAGTTAGATGAATATTGTAAAACGTTTATGAAATATTATTTACTCAGCATGAATGAACCTGTTTTGCATGCCATCTATTTTTCAGCTCGAAAACCGCCTCGGAAAAGGAGCACAAGGACAAGTTTTCCTTGCAATTGACAAAAGTGACGGCAAGAAATTTGTGTTGAAAAAGGTAAGCTAAATATAAAAAGAATGTTCATGTTTTTATTCGGAAGATGTGGGTGAAAGTCTAATCAGTAAGAAGTATAAGACAGTAAATCAATCTCACCCTTAATACAAACTATAATGATCATACTTGATAAAACCTAGGCTAGATTCTTACCGCTAGAATCTAGATCCATCGTCTGTCATTAAAGCGTGGAATATGAATGAATTATGATACCGGTATTGAGTTTTATTGACATCAGTGACATCACCCATGCATTTGGCACCCATCTTTGTGAAGAGTGATGTAGGCCTACACACACTTAAATGAGTTTTACATCGCCCCTTCCCACACAGTAACCAGGGGTTCTTTTCACAAATTAAATACAAGATTAGCGACATCTTGACGGTTTGCCCGTCTTGTCCGCTTAGATGTGTTTCACAAAACCATCTTTGCCAAGAAGAGTGACAACTTGTCACGGTTCCAAACCTGAGAACGCCGTCTTAAGTCATTTGAAGTAACTCTACGGGCTAGCCGTAAGGGCTCCCTCGAAATGTTTTTTATGATATTATTCGAGGGAGCCTTAAACGGCACCCATAGGGTCCCACGGAGAGGTACTGTAGGTAAACAACAACTAAAATGTGTCCAAAATCACACTTTCCCGCACCCGACCAATATTGGACAGTGGCTTTGATAAATTTTGTTGTAATTGTAGTCCTAATTACCTCCTGAATTTAAAAATCAGAGGTAAAAATAATAAAATAAAAAGCAATTTTCTTACCAGACCGATACAGCTCAGCTCCCTTTTCACGTGTACCGTGTGAATTCACGATCTCTACACAATGGTGATGACCTCTGACTGGCACTTCCGTGATTGTGCTGCTTCCGTATAATGCGCTGTATGAGTGTTATTAGGCTACTACGGGCAGCTAGTGAATTAAATGAAAACTGAAAATTTATTTTAAAACTTATTTCCTGATCTTCAACCTCAAGCTGTTATTTTACTGATCAATTGTTATTTTTGGTCTTAATGTGAAACTGAAAGTGAAACCATTGTACCAAATTTCTTAACGATTGAATAAGATTAAAATATTATTTGTCCATACATCAGTGACCAGTCTACCGGTACCATAAAAAAGTGGCTGAAGATGAAAAAGTCTGTAACCCATGAGAATGATGACATTTTCGTGTAGGCATTTTTCTAGATATTTTCATATTTCAAGCATAACCTTGTCCTTGACATAAATTACAAAAAATAATTATCTGATAAATAAATGTTGGCAAATTAAAACTGTGAGTCATAATAGGCCTAGTTTGTTTTCATTATTGATTTTATGTGAATTATAATGGTATCCTCGTACTTACAATCCTTAGATGTTAAACACATATTTTCATGTGGATTGTATCTTGTAATTTTGTGCAACAACGCTCAAAGACTTACTTTTTAAAAGAGTTTGAGTGAAAAATAGCCTTGGTAATACAGGATAAAATCTGATGGATTGTGACAAAGACTTTTTTTAGCTGATGGTATTGAAATCATGAATTTGTCACTCATAATGGATTTGTGAAACAGGTGGTCCGCTTCCTGATATTTCCTTTAAGACCTTAGGTTGCGGACCAACATTTGATTGTCATGGAATTGGTTTCGTGAAAAAATTGGGGGATAGTGGGAATGGGAGAATAATAACAAACTCTGAGGCAGGTATGAGAAAATGTAAAAATTTGTTTATATCACTCTTCACACAGGCAAATGGGTGCCAATTACGGCCTGATGGTATCAATATCATATTTCATATTATATGTCATGTCTGTATGCAACTGCTGCCAGTGCCATACTATTTGTACTTCAAATTTTAATTATTATTCCTGAATTAGTCTTCAGGTATGTGTACGTGTGTGTGTGTGCAGGTGTGTTTGTACTATTTAGGTTGTATAGACATGTATCAATCAGATATGATTATTACATCTGAGACCAACCATTATCGTCGCCATCCGAAACAAAAGACACTACTCAAGTTTTGATCCAGAGTTCCACTCTGAGTCAATTTGTAGAATGTATTGTAGACGAAGACAGAAAGATGACTGTACTGCAGACACCACTCCTAAACTGAAGTTAGTGACAGATTCACTAAGGTGGTGCCGAAGGCATTATGTTTTGTTTTTTGTACGTCTGTCTGTATGCCCATCTCACTATCTACATGAAATTATTGCGATATCTCATGAACCACTTGGTCATGCTGGTAATGGTATGTTTTACCATGGGAATATGATCTGATGAGATTTTGGAGGAAGTAGGTCAAAAGTTAAAGGTCATAGAGGTCATTTTCTGAAAGTACAGGTAGTAGCCTTGTTATTGCGATATCTCAAGAACCACTAGATCTATAAGTATGACTTCAAAGTTCAAACAAATAGATAGTATGTATATCACCTGAGGCAGATGTTCTTATTCCAATTTTTCACAGAGGTAAATTTTTTAAATGACACTTTACAGGTGTTAAAGGTAATACAAAGTTTTGGTGTGGGGTCATGAATTTGGTTCAAATGAACATATTGGCAGCATATGCGATCCTACACTATTCAGTGATCGTTTTCACAGTTGAAATCAAGTCTAAAATTATGAAATTGTAAATAATAAACTCTTTAAGTGTATAGCTCCCTCTCAAGGTCAAGATATTCATTAAGCTATTAAACAATGTTTTGTGACCAAAATCGACCGATTAACTATTCCCATTTGGAAATTATATATCACAACTACATATTCTGAGATTTTCATGGTCGCAGCTATCATTGTATGGCCGTAGGCGCCATTTGAAATTTATCAAAATTTACCGGGAGCGCCGGTAAATTTTTATATTCAATTTTTCTCGAAAGCAGAAGTGTTTTAGGGGCTAAATTTTCTAGTGCTCATAATACATCCACAGGGCCATCCAAATATATCAAAATTTGTAAAGAATCCCTATCCACCCAATTTTCAGAATTTCCCAAAACTTTGTATTATCTTTAATTAGGCTGGTTATCAGGGTATGTCAAGTGGAGGTATGATCTTTGAACTTTGTTCAAGTATATATCACCATTGGGAGATAATCTGATTACGGTAGACTTAGGGATATATGTAAGTAGGTCAAAGTTCAAAGCTCATAGTCAGGATCCAATTTCCATGAAATTCAGGGTTGTTTTCACACTTTTATCACAATATCTCAAGATCTATTGATGCCATTAACTTCAACTTGGCTCAAAGGTCAAGGGTCATAGAGAAAGAGTATCTGATCAGATTTGGAGATAAGTTGGTCAAAGTTAAAAGATTATTGAGGTAAATTTACATGATGTTTCAAGGTATTACTTTTACCTCAACGTTTAGCGTTTAAACATTTAGCCATGAAGTTCAAACTTGATTTTAGTATTCATCACTATAATGAGCAAACTGATTAGATTTTTCGGTTAAAATGGTCAAAATTTCAAAAGGCATGGAGTCATATACCTACATGAAAATAAAGTGTTTTGTTTAAAAATAGTTTATTATCGCTACATAAATAACTATTTCAAGCTATTTTAGCTGTGAACTTAAAATTTAGAACTAGTATGCATCACCATGGGGAGACAAGAGATCAGATTTCAGGATTGCTATACAGAAAATCACTAATATTTTTTTCATTATGTGTTGACCTTTTCTTTTTCCATTTTTCTTTTAGGTTGAGTGTACAGATGAAACGGAGGCTACAAAAGCATTCAAGGAGGTACGTAAAAACAAAATTGATCAAATAAAAATTGAAACGTCCTTATAATTGCTAGGCCTCCTCTTATTGGTCCCAAGTCCTTGAATCAATCGCAAAATTAAATATTGCAATAAATAATGTTCTTTTATCCACATCCATATTCTACTTACCGGTACATGTATTTCCAATCAGTTTCTTGCCTTGAACATGATGTAATGTGTGTGTGTGTGTGTGTATACCATAGCCTGACATTGAAAATACTGAATATGCATGAAGCTGGCTGATGGTCGAGCTTTTCTTTTCTTATCCTCATTTTTCTTTCTTTATGATATTATAATAATTATATTTAGCAAGTCATGAAAATTTGAAAAAGAAAATTCAAAAGATTATTGCAGAATTAAATTGGCCCTATTTTATTTTGACAGTCAAATGAAATCTCCATGAAATGCAGATCTATGCATGTTCATTGTTCATTTGACCAAACTATAATTGTTGTAAATCAGAAAATCATTCAAAGTGAATTCAAGTCTAGAATTTAAGGACCATACTGAAGTTATGTTTTCTGTGATTTATAGCATTCTACTCAGTTATCAATCAATGGTTAGAAACTTAGCATGATGGTCAAACCGTACAGTCACTTACATGTACGTGGCTGGGAAAAAAATCCTTTTGCTATTCAAATGTAAATGGCAATATTCCAGTACTATTGAATAGCAATGTGGTAATCAGCTAGTGGGATGGTGGGGGGGGGGGTATTGTAAATTTAAAGGTTCTAATCAAATGCAATTTTGGGAGGGCATCAGTAAAAGTATAAAATTAAGTAATGTAAAGTTGATCTTGACTAAACTTTAACATTTCCTGATTATAGTTCATGCAAGTTAATGAAGTTATGTATCATATTTACAGTTATAATTCACAACATTCCATTATTCCTTGCTCTATTGGTCATAAATCTTATTTTCCCATGGATGGTTACCGGTATGTCACATTTAAATTTCATGACATGATCTATCACTATAAACTACATGTATGTTACATGTACCGGTATGTCATGCTCCCTGTAAGGCTGTCTTGTGAGTCACAAATCCAAGAAGCTGTTGCTTATTATATTAAGTTATTAAGTACTGGAACAATAACATTGGAATCCAGTTGTAGAATGCTATAAGTTTTCAGGTTTGCATCAATTCCTAGAATATTAATTTGATATTCCCTTTACCATACATGTATTACAAAAAGTCTACCATTTTAATATCTTTACTAAAATGTTGGCTATAATCAAAACATTGATATTGATTTGCCAAAGATTTAAAGTTAAATGTATCATAGACATTTTCTGCAAATGTAATGGAGTAATGGTGGAATCCAGATAATGGCTGCCATGCATGTCATATTGCTGTAATAATATCCAATTCATATCATGAACTTTTATTGGAGACAAGGTGTTTGCAGTGCATACATGTACTGTTGAAAACTAATAATAACGGCCTTGATGTATTTATTATTTATTAACTAATTCCTGTCTGCACCAGACAAATTCTGCGGTATCCAGGATCATAAAACAGTTGTTGCTTAGTGTTGCTTAGCAACCAACGAGAATGCTCTTACACCCATTGGCAACATTTCTGTTAGTGGCAGTTTTCACCTTACCCTTCCCCCCATTGCAATAGGTCTCCTGTTCATAAATATCTAAATTGAATTAAATGGTAAATTGTTTCAATGAATATGCCGGAAGTAAACGCATAATAATTGCACAAAGACTGCACAGACAAGAGCATGATATAGTTCTTTGACTATTTTTGATCATTTGTTTCCTTATTTTTTATCATTTTGCTTAATCCAGAGATTAGTCGTTTGAGTATCTGAACAACACAATCTCTCCTCCCACGCATTATAACCAGATTAAACTAAAAAGACTTAAACAAATAAGGACCATTTATAGAGAAAGATTAGAAGAGGAGAGATAGAATAATTGAAAGGAATAAAGAGGAATTAATTTTACAAAGTTCCGTGTAAAAGATATGATGGGCATAGTATTTTGTTCTTCAGTACGATGTATGCATTCATTTCAAAATCTGAATTATAATCATGGGCGATCATGTACACATTGCATAATGATAATTGAATTATAAGTTAAGGTTAGAATTATATTTAAAAAACCTATAATGCTGAAATCCTTGCATGAATTTTCTTAGAAAGAATAATATGGGAGGGGGTGGAAATAGTGGGTGCTGAATTAATGGTTATCATCTGACTTAAAGTGCATTACTGTACAAGAGATATAAATTGTGATCATTCTTTTTCTAAATTTCTAAAAATGCATATTGTGACAGTATAGATAGAGCATAGATAATCTATTTTACTATGGCTATTTGTAAGGGCTGTCCCTTTTTGCGTTATTTACAGTATGTAAATAAACTTAGGTGCAAGCTTTTCAATCCTTAAATCGGTTGTTTTGCATGTGTCCGTGTCTTAGATGGCTCAGGGCGTCCTTGGGGTATTGTTTCCTTCGTTCAGCATATAAAGAAATGTACTCTACGGTGGTATCTGTTTATTCTGTTGACTTTATTAGCCTAGCCCCCCACATAGTATGTGCAAGCGACACCGGTCCCAGAGCAAATATAATTATATTCTAAATAGTTTACATATACGGTTATGATGGTAATAAATGTCTTTGACAGAATTGCTATTCTGTAAAAATAGACCATTATTTCAGAAAGTCTGCAGAGCGTGTGTATATTTAGAATGAGGAATACAAAGAAGTCGGTTTTAGATCTTTGACTTGAAATGCATCAAGGCAACGAAGTTGATACCTCTGCATTGTGTGATTCTACTACCGGTAGATCATATACAAAGAAATTTATGTGTCACCTTATTGTTTAGTTATATCTGTTTACCAGTTTACCAGGTTACCTGTTTAGCCCCTCAATAGACATAAGCAACACCAGACTTGAGATAAATAATTGAATGACTCTTTGTCGTTTTATGTACATGTATATCGTAAGAAATGATGATAAACACCATTTTTACTTCGTAATTTGTTTTCCTTCTGTTTTGACATACATACATGAATAGCAGAGAACATATACATGTCTATAAAAGCTTTATATATTTTTGTTTGTGTGATAAACATCACATTTCTTTGTTCATTGATCTCTTTTACACCCCCCCCCCCCCCACCCAAGAGAGATATCATTATGACATGTCATAGATGGCTAGGCCTATATTGACTTAAAATATTCATCATAAAAATATCATAATTTAAACAAAAACGAGCTCAATTGAGCTTCAGAAATGTTAAAGTACTCCAGCATTTGTTTTTCTTTAGATAACTTGTGTACAAATGAAAACAGAATTGCCTTAAGGAGATTTCACTTCTTTTTTTTTCTATCCTGCTACAGCAGTGATGCACATACAATTATCTTTATACCATCATCAGTGCATTTTTTTTCAAAGGGATGTTGGGTCTTTTTTTTTTTTTTTTTTTTTTAATAATCTTTTAGTGTATGAACTTTATTTCACAAAATATTACATTTTCACTTTGTATCTTTGATATATTGCTTTATTTTTTAAAATAAATTGTGATTACAATGTACATCATGTAAGTGAACAATGTTGAGGTTTTTTGTTTTTATATTTTATTTTATTTCTCTCTCCTTCTTCATTTAAACCCCCTCCAAGTGTTCAACAATGAGTTTGGACTGTAAAGAACTTCTACATTTTGCTATTGTGAATTTGATATCCATTTCAGGTACATTATGCCAAATTTATCAATGAAACATGCCATTTTTAAAGTCTACCGGTATATAATTCACCCTCTTTATAGTTCATTATACATTTATGACATCTGTCCAATCCTGTGGTACCAAGAAGGGGTTTATAAACTTATTTGTTTGTCTTTTCTTTGCATGTAGGCTATGGCCCTCCAGGAGCTCAAGCATCCATACATCTGTGGCTACAAGGATTTCTTTGTCACATGGGACAAGGAGGTAAAGAAAAAAAAATTGTAGTTAGATTTATGTTTTAAAGCCCCACTGGACACGCCCTCTATATAACAAACAATTAATGCCTAAGTGGTGACCATTGGTCCCCCATATGCCCCATTTTCTTATGTTAATTGAGAGCTGATTTAATGAGATAACCACCTGTCAGTGACCATGCAGGGAGGTCTAATGCCTCTTGGTCAAACCAGTGCAGATAGGCTTTAAGACTGTGTACAGTACATGTATTTTTGTCTTTAAAAGGTAGATTCCATGATAAAATCTCATGTGTAACTATGTAATCTGACACATTCTGTCTCATTTCATGAATTCATTCAATTGTCCAGTTACTTGTGCTTGAGCATTCCCCAATTCATATATGAATTAACATTATACTTTTGATCTCAGTTTTTCATTCTGTATTTGTTAAATGCCATTTGACGTACGGTACTTTGTAATTTGATAGCTTGACTTTCCCTTGTTCAGTGTCCTCCTAATGGAGCATTTTGCCCTGCAGTTAATATGTCAGAATTGTCTTTCTCTTCCTTTTTTTAGTAGGTATGTTATTTTGCTTCTTAATTATTTTTTTGTATTTTATACAAAATCTGGACAAAAATGAAACTATCTGAATTCATGTCTTGGTTATCCCCCCCCCCCCCCCCCCCCTGCCAAAAAAAAAAGGAAAATTAAAAAATGTTTGTATATGCTCACTGAAAGTCCTACACTATATGTGTATCATTCTGATAAATCAATATCTCTTAATGATTCATGGCCTGTTGTAGTCCCTTATAAATATGGCCACCACCCCCTAAAATCACCTTGTCACTGATGACAGGAAGAGGAGTAAATGACCTGTGAGGCCAGAGATGAGGCCAGGCATCTCTTTTGTTCCCTGTCTTGGAAATCATTGCATTCAGTCTATTGTTAAGGGCTTCGTACAGGTAATAAGGGATGGGAGATGAATAGGGATAGAGAGAAGGGAAGAAGACACCAGAGGGTGTGGTTACAAAGGGTCTTTTCAAACCTGGACAATAGGTGCAGGGATTCTTGAGGAGAGTGATTATATAACATTGATCAATTCCCCCCCCCCCCCCCCCCTATATAGATTATTTTGAACAATACACTTTTATGGGTTTTGTGTATCCTGCTTGAACAAACCTACCAACAGATGTAAGTTTGGTAAACTAGATAACAAGAGGAACATAATTCGCATAAAATAGTTTAGGGAAATCCCCCCTCCCCCTGTGATGTAAATTACATTTTTAAGGCAGAAATAAAATGCATTCAGTAAGAAAAACTACTGCATGATTGCTCCTCCTCGACCCCCCCCCCCCCCCTTGCAGTTGATTAAAATTGTAACATTTCCATCTTCCCTGAGTGCATTCAATTTGAAATAGCTACTTTCTGGACAAATAAACTACTGCAGGATTGCTCCCCTCATCTCCCTTGCAGGTGACTAAAATTGCAACATTTTCACTTCCCCTGAGTGCATTTAAAGGCCCACTGCACTACTTGTAGCTACTTGCGCCCTCTATATAACAAACAGTGCCTCATCGGTTACCATTGGTCCCCCGTGATCCTCTTTTTCTTATGTTAACTGAGAGTTGAGTTCATGAGATAACCACCTGTTCAGTGACCTTGCAGGGCGGTATAATCCCTCCTGTAAACTAGTACAGATACAGTGTAAGCTTTAATTTGAAATAGGTACTTCCCCCTCCCTGATCAACTATCCTCCAGGCCAATTGCCCCCTAATTAGGGGTAAATGCCCCTGTTGATTCTGTGAACCTGTAGATAAAGGCCACTCAAAGGAGATTAAAAAAGCAAAGTCTCTATACCCAGGTGGTCTTTATAGACAGGTTGCTTTCAATTGTACAGGTTTCAGTAAGAGAAACAAAGCAAGTGGTCTTAGAAAGATGGCCTTTCTGTACAGATGCCCACTAAAGCAGGTTTAACTGAAGTTGTCACAATTAAGACATGGGAGAGTAGTTGTCGGTTGGGGGGGGGGGGGGGTTCATAAAGGATGCAGTGTAATACATTAACCGGTTGAGACAGTCCGTCTTGATAAATATTTGACCGATACGTTTCCTTTCAAACTCTTCTTTATTATCCAGGAAGCTGCCATTATAGTATGTATAGTCATGGACTACTACAAGATGGGGGATCTAGACAGATTGCTGAAGAAGAAACGTAAAAAGAATGAAGCAATCGAAGAGCTGGTGAGTACTTAGTATTTCATGATGTTTGATTGCTCTTATTAGAAGAAATTTTTAAATTTTATTCTAACAAGACCACTGCAGGTGGTGCTGGATGCATTATGTTTTCAGGTTATCTGTCTCTCCGTCCTTCCGTTTGTTCTGCTTTCTTGTTATTGCAGTAAATCAGTATCCACTCTTGTTCTTTTTTCTTCTTTTTTAACTCCAGCCAAATGCTGGTTTTTGACCTTCCATCTCAGAAAATTATAGAATTTAATAAGTATTCTAAAAAAAATAGACCAGAAATTGTCTGCATTGTTCTTAATTTTGTACTTTTCTTTTTGTTTTGGTCATACCCTTTCTGCATTAGATCCTGAAGAAATGGTGTGGACAAATGATTGAAGCTCTTGCTTTTGTCCATCAAAGAAAGGTCATTCACAGGTACATACAGACTTTTTAACTCATTTTAATTTTAAAAATGTAATTTCTTTATATTCATTTTGAATATCAGGAAAACTGTGCAACAAAGTCAATTATTTGAAAACCCTTTAGTGCAGTACTTTATGCAGCTTACTCTGCCAAAAGTATTTTAATAGCATTTACTATGGTTCTATTTTCAAGGGTACTCACACGATCTTGCTGAGCAGCAAATGCACATGAAATGTACCATCAAAGGATAATTGAGTAAATTTAATGAAAATGAAGAGTGAGAACTCAAATTTTTTACTTTTATAAGTCCATTCGAGCATGCTTGTCTGGAAAACAAAGTAACAACAATAGCTTCCAGTATAATATTTCAGAATAGTTATAATTGTCTTTAGAAATGGTTTCACAAATACTGGAAAGTATCATGCCAGTAATCTTGTTCATTTTTTAAAGTCTAAAAGTTCCTATATTCTTTATTTTTTATTCTCACAGAGATTTGAAACCAAGCAACATCTTCTTGACCGATGACCTCACACTGTCCCTAGGAGACTTTGGTGTGGCGACCATCATGGATGATGCCAGGACAAAGGCTAGGACCACTGTTGGTGGGTTATGAATCAGAATATCAACCTACGCTTATGTTTATCATTTTCATTGCCAGATAAATACATTCTGATAGGTGATCCATCTGTAATATAAATATACACAGACCACTTTTGTAGTATACAGTGTCTTTGGGGAGAAAAGAAAAATAGATACCATACCCAAATTCCCCAAATGGTTAATTGTCATGATGCCCAGGTTGTGTGATGAAGTACGTCTTCTCTGAAATATTTTGAAATCACATTCCAAGTGTGTGATGTATGGATCAATCTAATATTGTTTGTTACCTTGAAAACTCCATGTAAGGATACAAGCATAGATGATTTCACCTTATATATAATTATGTGCAACAGCAAGTACTATCTCTACACAAAATCAATTACACTTTGCTGCTGAATAGCCTAAAAGGAACAATGCTATTTAAAATGTGATTGTTTTATTACAATGTGTAGTATGAGTCAATCCTCATGTTTTAGGAATAAAATAATCATTCCTGTCCTTTATGCTTCTACTCACCTTTACCCTTTGACAGGCTCAATGAACTGGATGGCTCCTGAGGTTCTAGAGAAGCCGTACGATGAGAGAAGTGATGTCTGGTCACTAGGGTGTATCATCCTCGAGATGGCAACATGTGGATTCTTAGATGTAAGGCATCAGTCACATAGTAACTCTCAATAGTCTTGTAACCAAAATTAATTAAAAATTCCACTAACTTTATAACTAAGATAACATTTTAGATGTTACCTATAAAATGTTGAACACAGAGATGGGTCTGCTGTTTATCCAAGGATGCCAGATTGCGGGGGTTTTGCCAGATTTTAGGACATGACATGTAGATCCTTAGGCTCCTTCGTAGAAAGAAAGGACAGGGTCCGAACATGCATGGGCCACTTTTTGGTGTAGAGTTAAGTTAAATTATCCAAACAGAAGTAGAAGATTCGGCATGAAACTTTCTCTACATTTGATTATCAAAATCTTCCTCTTGAAAATAAATATATCTTTATTGTTTGTTATCTCGGTTGCCTCCCTTCCAATAAGCCCTCAGACCAGTATGGCAAACAAGTAGATCCATTTTGTTAATGTTGCTGAACCATTTTTATTTTCATTAAATTTATTTTTTCACATTCCAGTTTTAACACAAAATAAAGTACAATATAAAATATGAATGAATACATATAGATATGGTCAAGTGTGTTTTTTGAATATATGTTATGATTTTTTTTGTTTTTGTAATTTGTATTTCTTTCAATTTTAGACTCAATCCATGGGTGAAGTTTTGATGGGCATCAAGCAAGATCCAGCCAGACTGGAAGAGGCTTTAGAACCAGTTGGAAAGGTAAGAAAAACATTCATCTTATGAGCCTACTTATTATGAAAGTGTCGTAGTGGAGTGGTTTAAGCACTTGACTTGAAATTCAAAGGTCGTGTTTTTCGATCCCGACACGTCACTAATGTCCTTTGGCAAGGCATTAATCTACATTTGCCGCTCAATACCCAAGAGAGAAATTGGGACTTGGTAGGATGACAAAAGCATTTGTGTTTTAGTAATTGCCTCACGGTGAGCATATGGTACAAATACTCACCAGGGAGTGGAGATGGTGCACATTGTGCATGAATGAATCAGATGACCGGGATAATACATGAAAATACAACTTGTGACCTACAATATATTCATTACAGCATTTGGAATAAATATCATCTGCATTGTATGTGTAGTTTCATAGTAAATTTCATAGTAAATGTGTGATGGATCGCCTAACAGGCCGACCTCCGCTCTGTGCTTGGAAAATGTTTGGTTATACTAACATGTATTGTGTGGACCAGTCCCCAAGTTGTTATCATACACGTATACAAACAGATAATATTGAACGAATACAAAAACGGGCATGTAGAATTATTTTGGGACTTAATTATGAAACACATAATCATGCTCTAGAACTGTGCAATTTGTTAACGTTGGAAGAACGTCGGAATAAACTTTGTTTTTATTTCGCCATTAAATTAGAAAAGCATGATTTGTGTTCGTTATGGCTACCAAGTCAAAGAATTGTTAAATTTAATTTACGAAATGTACAGAAATATTCTCAATTTATTTGTAAAACTAGTCGCTTTAATAACTGTAACAGCTCTATTCCCTATTTTGTTCGTATCTTAAACGATTATTATTCAAAAAAGTAAGCTTCATATATTTTTGTATATGTTTATGTTTAATGATGTTGCCTATTATGTGTATAAATGTGTCTAGTATTTTTATCCTTTTATATGTCATTAATTTTATTTTATGTCAACATGTATAATGCTCAGTGTATTTTAAATATCATGATGTTTTTACCTTGTACAAATGATCTGCAATTCAGCTTCGGCTGCCAGAACATCATACGAATAAACCCTTATTGAATTGAATTGAATTGAAATTGATGCAACAGAGGAAGAAAAACTAAATACATTTAATAATTTAACAGTTGTAAGCAGACAATGTAACTTCCAATCATGGTGACTTACAGGATAATCATAATAAACATTTTCTTTGCTCTTTTATATAAATTCTTTGTATTGCATGGAGTTTGCATATTTGTGTTCCTGATAGTATATTTTCCTTCTATTTTTAGACGTATTCTGCAGATTTAAGTCAAGTCATTCGCACCATGCTGAGAAGGAACTTCCAACAGAGGCCGTCTGCTTTGTAAGTTTCTTTTTTTGGTAATTTACATCTGTCATTTAGATCAGATTATAATAGCTACATTTACACTGCAACCAAAACTCATTGATTTTTCTCACATTCCAGTGTTTACCCACCATTGTGAAGACTGCTAATGACCAGTTCAAGAAGCTATTGATAGCAATCCCGTTTAGATTTCTCACTGATTGATGTAAACACTGTTGGTTCAGGGGCCTGTTTCATAAAAACTTGTGATCAATAACAAGTGACACTAACTGTTATAAGCTACTGAAATTGTGGCATTCGACTGGCTGAGAGCAAATTTGTCATAGAAATTTAGCATTAGTTATTGATGGCAGGTTTTATGAAACAGGGCCCTGATGATACAGTACATGTATCATATGAAAATATGAAAAATACAAATTTAGGTACATATAGAGGGCTCTTCGATGACAATAATATTAGTCTCACCCAATAGCGAAAACTTATCAATTTCCTAACTTCAACCCTGGACCCCAAACTTAACATAACCCTAAGCCTTGCCCCCACCCTAAGTCTAGTCCTAACCTGAATCCCAATTACATTTTTAACCCTGTAACTTTGATGAAAGAAAGCTTGGGAGCATTTGTCACAGGAGTAGATGTAAGATTAACACTGTTCATATTCCATTCTGATTTGATACACAGGGAGTTGGTCGAGCTACCCTACATCAAGGAATGTCTAGCATTGAGCAACTCAGCTCTGACTGGCAAGAAGAAAGAGAAAGAGAAGGCTGCAAGTAAGAACAATGATAGCATTTAATAGCAGTCCTTTGTAAAAACTTATGTTCTCATTTTCTCATTATGTTACACACATCTCTGAAATGACCGAATAGAGATATGACAAAGAAATTTCATAAACTGAATGTCTTGGGTGTATGTAAAGATTGATGATGTTAATATCGCATTTGTATTCCCCATGACCTGGGACGGAATCAACAATTTTTGTTATGTTGAATAGAATCTCACATTTCTATGACGTTTGTCATATCTTGGTTTTCATTGTGCAAAACATTTTTAATGTAAACTTTTAATTCATTTCTTTGTATCTCTCTTTCTCTTTTCCCTTATTTCACAAGAAAGGATTTTTGATCAATTATCTATGTGTTATCTGTTGGTGTCATAAAGAGTCAATATTTTATATTCCAATTTATTCAGTTATGTTTTAACATTTTCTTACATTTTATAGAGGATTGTCCAACAGACAAAGGCATTCCTGGTGTCATGGGTAAGTCAATGAAAGTGATACCAGGGGGGGTGTTTCACAAAGACTAAGATCAATTTAAGTTGGACTTAACTAAGTTTTCATTCATGTGTAGGACTAAGTCTTTGTGAAACACTCCCCTGTATTGTATCATTCTATTCAAGTTATATCAATCATCTTTTATTCCATAATTTATAGACCTTTCAAATTTACTTTAATCTTGAAAATTACTATCTATTTCATAGACTATTGTAGTATTTGTTGTTTTACGATTATGATCAGACTAGTACCGCAAATGCATATTCATTGCAGCCTCTATATAATATTTGTCAACAATATTCATGCTTCAATCAAACAAGTTATGTCATCTGAATTGTTCAAGAGATGTAAAAGCATTGTAATTTAAACATTATGTTTCTTCTCTTTTCAGCGTTCATCACCGAGAATAAAGATAACGAGATCTCCATCACAAAAGCTTTCAAATATCTCAACACACTTCAAAGTAAGTAATGGATATACCTCAGGCCTAAAATAAAAACTTGTTGCATTGCCCTTTAGGTGCCAAAACATGGGTCGGTCGGTCGGAAAAGTTTTTTATGCCTCCGCCACCGAAGGTGGTGCCGGAGGCATCATGTTTTCGGGTTGTCCGTCCGTCCCGTTTGACCGTTATCACAATATCTCAAGAACCATTTAAGATTTAAACTTAAGACTCGGGAATAGTATTTATCACCATAGGAAGACGATCTGATTAGATTTTGGAGTACATAGGTCAAAGGTCACAGGTCACAGAGGTCAACTTATGAAATTCCTTGTATTGAGTTTGTTAGCGCGATATCTCAAGAACCATTTGAGATTTAAACTTCAAACTTAAGGATAGTATGTATCACCATAGGAAGACGATCTGATTAGATTTTGGAGCACGTATGTCAAAGGTCAAGGGTCACAGAGGTCAACTTATGAAATTCCATACATTGAGATTGTTATCATGATATCTCAAGAACCACTGGAGATTTAAACTTCAAACTTAGTGATAGTGTGTATCACTATAGGAAAACAATCTGATTACATTTTGGAGCACGTAGGTCAAAGGTCAAGGGTCATAGAGGTCAACTTATGAAATTCCATACATTGAGATTGTTATCATAATATCTCAAGAACCACTGGAGATTTAAACTTCAAACTTAATGATAGTGTGTATCACCATAGGAAGACAATCTGATTAGATTTTGGAGCACGTAGGTCAAAGGTCAAGGGTCACAGAGGTCAACTTATAAAATTCCATACATTGAGATCGTTATCGCGATATCTCAAGAACCACTGGAGAATTTTCACTTCAAACTTAATGATAGTATGTATCACCATATCATAATATCTCAAGAACCACTGGAGATTTAAACTTCAAACTTAATGATAGTGTGTATCACCATAGGAAGACAATCTGATTAGATTTTGGAGCACGTAGGTCAAAGGTCAAGGGTCACAGAGGTCAACTTATGAAATTCCATACATTGAGATTGTTATCATGATATCTCAAGAACCACTGGAGATTTAAACTCCAAACTTGTTTAAATTGCTCTATGGCGGAGGCATCATTTTCGACTGCGCGCAGTCAAAATTCCATCTAGTTTTTTATAATTTTTGTTGTCGCCCTCTTTGGGCCGATATTTTTCAGATTTGAATGTTTTTTTGTCCCGCTCTCTTTTGGCTGATATTTCTCAGTTTTTAATGCTTTAATACATGTGTTTCAACGTCATCATTCCATTGATATCTTTTTCACCTCATAATCATCCATGGTTTGCACGAGTGAGAATTTTGTAATAATTTTATTTTATGCATTTATATCCCATTTACATGAACAAAATACATATTTTTGTATTCATTAATAACAAAAAATCTAAAAAACGGTTTAAAAAAAACTTTTTTTAAATGCCGACCGTAGATTTTCAGATTTGTGGGTCGGTCGCAAAGGGCAATGCAACAAGTTTTTATTTTAGGCCTCATACAGCTAACCCTGTATGTCTAAGTTGTTGTGATCTGTTATGTGTATGTTTTTTGTGTGTCGTATCATGAATTTTTAGTGCTGTATGTAGGGAAGCTTTGCCGTAATGACCACAGCCCTTCCTATGAAGAAAAAAAGGGGGGGGGGTTGGGGATGGAGAAGGGGGAAGGTGGAGATGGGATGAGAAAAGGTTGATGGGACACCCAAAATCCATACCAAGGGGATAATATTGCGATCTCGGGGGGGAGGGGGGAAATGTTCTCCTTACCCCCTTCCCCACTGAGTATGCCTCGGAGGCTCATTAGGATTCTCCAAATCTTGTTGCTGGGGGAAAAATCCTGCTCGTCCCCCAACCCTTTTCCATCCAATCCTAGATTTGCCCCTGCTTATAATCATGATGCTCTTGTGGATCACTCTGCAAAGATCATAATGGCTGAAATAAAGAAGCTGTGATCAATATTTGGCCATGAAATATAAAAAACATGCCGACTTCCTACAATTTGCAATTATTTTTCCTGATTTAATAAAAAAAAATCTTGTTTTTCCTGATTTTTCTTGATTTTCCCCCTATTTTCCTGTATTTCCCCTATTTTCCTGTATTTCCCCTTTCATGTTTTCTTTTTTCTTGTAGCGCCTCAGATTGATGAAGCTGGTAAGAAGCTGATCATTAGTAGCATGAAGAGCAGTGTATCAGAGGTAGCACTACAGATTGAAGCCTGCAGACTGCTCCTTACCCTCACAGCAGCTGGTAAGACAGAAGTGAATTGAGAAGACAAATGAATTTTTTTAGATGTACAGTCAAACCTGTCTTTAATAGTGGCCATCTCTCCATAAAGATAACCTGTCTATAATGGTTACAAATATTGCCTCCCTCTTGGAGGAAATGTGTGTTGAAGAACCTGTCTAATAGGCTTGGGCGGTTCCCTTGTTGATGAGAACCGACTCCGGTTCCCACTCTCGGCCTCGGTTCCAAGTGGAATCGACTCCCGCTGGCTGCCATATACAGTACATGTAATTGAAGCCACAATGCTGTAAAGGCCACACACACACACACACCAGGGAGGTGTTTACACACTGTATGTTATGTACTGTGCATGTCGGCTCCACTCAGCAGTGGCACTGATAGCAACAGATGATATTCTGAGATATTTTTTTGGAAAACTTTACTTTTAAAAAGGATCAAAAGTATGAATGTATGTGTGACTTGTGTGTGTAAATTGATGTTTTGTTTATATCTGTTTCGTCTCATGATATCTCTACAATTACATGCAAACAATATATAAAGAAGATCAAAGTGCAGACCTTCATAAACAGTTATGAAATGATTTATTTTACTACTTTCGATCAAATCGAGAAAAAAACATGACCACTGCTAATAAAGTAATTAATTATTTAATAACTCATGGCAACTTGGCAACAATGTAAACAAACAAAAACATGTTAGGTCTAATTTAAATTCTAAACTTCAACATAGAATGATGGAATAATCAACTCGTACTTACACTGCTAAAATGTAAGAAATGCAGAACAATTATTTCCAATATTACGGTAAACAATCCATTATGTAAAACTAAAGATTCTGATTCCCTGCCTAAAATAAATGGAATGTATCCGAAACATGCCTGGTCCGCTGGCTCTCCTCCCAGGGACCAACCTTTATCTGAGAGCTAAGTGTAAATAACTCATGCTCACATGGCCGGCCGCCCGCCCAATGCCACCCAAAAACTTTAATGACCCCAGCCCCAGCTCGTGGCACTCCATTCCCATGGTTACTACTAACCACGTGCTTTCTAAACAACAGATAACAGCGCTAGATCTTGGTTTCAGAATAACTAGTCTGCATTTTCAGCCACTATTAGAGATTGCGCTAATGCCACAGCGAGAGGGGACACTCGACTTGCCTGAATTATTCTTATTTGTTTAAATACCCCCAAAAAGAACACAAGACAGAGAGATGTAGATCTGCAAAACTTATTATTGAGACAAAAATAATAACAGAAGGGGATGCTAGAGGGGGAGAGAAAGGGAGAAGGGGAGATGTTGACCTGCCACATTTATTCTTGTAAGGAAAACAAAATAACTGAAGGAAACAAGATATAGGGGGTGGGGGAATGTACATGTAAATTGTAGACCTGTCAAACTTATTTTTAAGAAGAATAAAACTTGATGAGGAGAATTCAAGGGAGAGAAAGGAGGAGGAAATTGTGAGTTGTGTGATTTAGTTTATTTGAGGAAGAAAACTAAACGTCTGATGTCTAGGGGAAGGGGAGACTAGGGATAGAGAGAGAGCAAACACAAAGTCACATAAATCAGTTTGCGCACGAGAGAAAACATGAATCAACTCCTTGATCACACGCTCCAAGAGGAGAGAAAATGGGGCCATTGTTCCAAGACTCTTGCGCAATTTACCAAAGGTCAAACGTTCAGCTGGGGGGGGGGGGGGGCAGTTACAGACAACATGCAGCATAGCACACACATCTCACTCTGATGCACAGTACTACGAAGGAGGTACACACACAAATGTGTGTATCAAAACAACATGCTACTAGTGCGCCCATCGCTCGCATGCATTCTGATTTTGTTCATTCTCTGTGCTGTGGAATCTACACCAGTTCGTTCGGGCAATGTTCCTTCGTTCACTTTTGCAAAGTATCTCTTTGAATTTTGGTGCTGTGGAGTCGACTCCAGCGCCAAAGACTCGGTTCTTATCTTGGAACCGAGTCTCCTTTTCTCGGAACCGACGTGCTCGAGTAATCGACTCTCTAGAGATTGGAGTCGACTCCTCGGTTCTGGATTTCAGAATCGGTTAGAGTCGGGTACTCGGCTCTCGCTCCCAAGCCTACTGTCTAAATAGGCCACCTGTATGAATAGGCAACCTGTACAAATAGGCAACCTGTATTCTGTGACAACTTTGTGTTTCTCTTTGGTGGTCTTAATAGACAGGTTTGACTGTATTGCCTCATTGGCCATCCCTCATCTATATTTCATGATTAAGAGACCATAGTGTTTCCATTCAGGGTCACGATGATATAATCACAGAAGAATTCTGTCGTGGAAAAAGAGAAGTGATCCAAACTGTAAAAGACTGTCTGAGAGGAGCTGTAGTTACATTTATGTCTGTTAAAGCCCCACTGCACTACTTATAGCTACTTGCGCCCTCTATATAGCAAACAATGGCCTATCGGTGACCGGTGGTCCCCCATGGTCCCCTTTTTTTATGTTAATTGAGAGCTGATTTGATGAGATAACCACCTGTCAGTGACCATGTAGGGAGGTCTAATCCCTCCTGGCCAAACTAGTGCAAATAGGCTTTAAAGTTATTTTACAGTTTCCCTTTTGTTTTGATAGGCTAGATCAACCAAATCTTTTATGCCTAAGAAGTAATATAGATAGTCATAGCTTTGTTCATAAAGTTTGAATTAACGAAATCTAGAATCTGTTTGTTTTCTATTCAACTATTTATTGCTGCTGTGGTTATTGTTTTCAGCTGATGCTGAAACTGATGCAGATGATTATCTGTTTTCTGAAGAAGTCATCCGTGCTGTTATTCTACCAATGAAGGCAAGTACAATTCTTCATCTGTTTATATTTTAGTAGGGCATATTTTTTATGCTCTTTCGGAAAAATTAAGAAAAAATTGATAAATTCCAAAAATAGATTTTTATGATGTCACAGCTTCGATACTCTATACTGGTTGAGAGACAGCACAGAGATACTTGGAAGGCTCTATCAATGGCCTTCCTGAATGTGCTGGATAATGTAGAGTTCACAATGTTGTCACTCCAATGGCTCACTCTATGATAGCAGATGGAAAGTCTGTGTTCCTGTATTGTTCAGTTTGTGCTCTGATGGGGTTGTAGCCCTAGCCGTTGTTTGTTTAACTGTCTATTAAATTGACTTTTCATTTGTTCTATTTTCTTACAGGCCCATCCATCATCCCGAGATTTCCAGAATATAGCATGCTCCCTTCTCAAGACCATAGCTCTCAGTGGTGAGTAACAGGGAAAGATTTTACATTCTACAAATGCTGGAAATAAAGTTTGATGAATTTGTATAGTTTTGTTTCAAAGCTACCTTTTCTAGAGGCCCCTTGATGTAATTCAATCAAGAATAGAATTGGAAAAGCTCAATAGGGTGCCTGTGTAGTTGTGAATATAGATTAATGTATATTCACTTCTTTCAGAAGGACATCAGAAACGGTTCAAATAATAATAATATACCATACTTATATAGCGCATATCACAATATGTCTCTATGCGCTGTAAGAAAGAAAGTAAGAAGGAAAGGTGGATAGAGTAACATAAGAAGACTGAGATATGCTCAACATACTTCCTCTCATTAACATTGGAAAGTATTGGTTTGTTTGGTTTTATTCTTGAGCCATTTGATCAAAAGAACGTTTTGATTTTTATTTCAACAAGTTTGAACATGAGAGAAATCAACAAGTAACAATTAGCAACAGTTTTCTGCGTTGAATGAGAAGTAATCACTCTCCTGTTATGTAAAGGTAGAGGTGTCGTAGACGAGTGGATACGTCGCCGGACTGTCGATCACAGGGTCCACGGTTCAAATCCCGCCGTGGCACTAATGTCCTTTGGCAAGACATTGATCTACATTTGCCATACTCCACCCAGGTGAAGTAAATGGGGACCGCGAGGAAGGAATTCCTTGAATGCTTTGAGCACCTTCCAGGGTGGATATGTGCACTATATAAATATCCAATATTATTGTTATTATTAAACCCCAGTTGCTATATATTTTCTTTCTATTCTACGTTAATTCATTTTCAGAGCAAGCAGCAGGGTCGATAGGGAAGCTAGGAGGAATACAAGATATCCTCTCGGCACTCAGAACACATCCCTCTGATGCTCAGGTCTGCGCCAACTGCTGTAGCGCCCTCTCCTATCTCACTATCAATGGTAAGGTGGTGCTCCGTGAAGTGACCCCTCTCCCCCTGGCAAATCTACTGTACACCAATTTGATTTCGCCTGCCATAACTTGGATCTTGATGAGCAAAAGTCATTCTATGCACGGCTTTCATTATGAATCTGACGTGAAGCATGATGCGTTGAATAATCTTTTTTTATGACTTTCAGTCAAAAATAGTCAGTGGATGAGGGCGATTTGCCCCAGGGTCTCTCCAAAAATATTGCCCCTTTAAATTGTGGAAAAAAGAAGCTGCCGCCATTACTTTGTCATTGTGTGTAAAATAAATTTGATAACAATAAGGCTTTTGAAAAAAATGTTGAAGTGCCCTTTAGGTGCCAAAACATGGGTCGGTCGGTCAGAAATCTTTTCTTTTTGTTTACTCCCTCTTTGGGCTGATATTTCTAAGTTTTGAATGCTTTAATACATTTTTTTCCTAAAAAACAGTTTTAAAAAACATCTTTTTTTAAAGGCCTAATTAGACTTCAAAGTGAGCCCAATCCCCCTTATTAACATTGGTTTTGATTATATGTTTTGTTATTGGAAGCCTGACATCTGTTCAGTGCAAAATGTATTCATTTAGTTACTGAAGTGTCTGCTTTCTTTGTTTTTGACAGATAAGAATCTTGACATCATGAGAGAAGAGAAAGGTGTGGTCGATCTAATCAACGCCATGGAATCACATGAAACTGATTCCTCCGTCATGGATTTCACATGCTCGGCTTTATGGGGACTATCGCTAGAAGGTACGTTCCTCACTTTGATCGTTAAATTGGCAACAATCATGTATGATCTCATCAGCGCAGTGGAATCACTTGAAACATATTCATCCATCATTGAATTCATATGATCTACGTTATGAGGACTGTCATTAGAAGATAAGTTAAAATCCGCACAAGTCCACTTGTGATTTTCAAAATGGTAACATTTAAATTGTACTTCATCTCTTAGCATTCATCCGTAATAAATGTCAAGTATCTGATATATAGGTTTATGAATAATTTTTGTTATGATAATAATAAAGGGATCTTAAAATATAAGAAGCAAAGTATAGATAAATTCTAAACCTGGTTATCTTGTAAGTTGATTTCTAAAACCATTACTTACATTCAACATAACATTTTGAAAATATCTTGATTGCACCTTCTGGACTTCTGCTAACATTCATCAGGAGAATAGAAACAATTGATTTTCTGATTTCTTTTTGATCCAGATGAGAATGTAGAAATGATGGCAGCACGAGGTCTTGCAAAGGTCCTTCTCAAAGCGATCACTGATCACAAACAGGTCAGTAGTTAATATCATTATATCTCCTTTCTCTTTCTGTTCCTCCTCATATCTACTCTGCTTTGGGATACAATCGATGAATGGTAAAAGTTTGTTTGCACAAGGAAAAGTAATGGTAAAAGTTTATTTGCACAAGGAAAAGTAATGGTAAAAGTTTATTTGCACAAGGAAAAGTAATGGTAAAAGTTTATTTGCACAAGGAAAAGTAATGGTAAAAGTTTGTTTGCACTTGGAAAAATAATGGTAAATTATTCATTTGTATAAGGAATAATATTAAATGGCTTCTGCATGTTATCCTATGAATAGCAATATTTTTTTTTTTCTTAGAAGGAAACTTTTGCAAGTTATATAAACATATGTGAATATTGCACTTGAGCAAAACAATCATGCCACTTTTTTGCTTATTTATACTGAAAATGTTTCAGTGTAAAATCAGTGATAATGTTTTAAAATTGCATTTGATTGCAAAATTTTGTTTTCTATTTGTTGTTTAGATCTATCATCTCTTGTTTATGGTTTGCTTTAATTACATATTAGCGTGTTTTTGAATGAGTAGTGTTTTAAGAACTCAGAAGCTTGGTGCACTATGACTCCAGGGGAGGGTTTCACAAAGACTAAGGTTGACTTTAAGTTGGACTTAGCTATGGCAAGCCGTTCATGCCACTGCTTGCTCTCACCATTGTGATCTTTAGATATTATTTTTTTCATTCAATAACAAATTATCATAAAATCTAAATTCTGTAGATTACTGACCATGACTTGTACGTCCCTTGAGAGACCAATGTCAGTAAATGGTGAGAGCAAACAACTGCCTGCCATAGATAAGTCCAACTTAAAGTCGATATTAGTCTTTGTGAAAAACCCCCTCCCCTGATCTAGGACTGACGTATTATACAAAGAGTACTAATATTAGATTCACACTTGTATCTTTTACCAGCATGCCGACGTGGTGAAGAACGGCTGCATGGCCCTATCGAGCCTGGTCGCTGAGTCGGAGGAGAGTGCGTACCTGGCCCACAACTCTGAGGGTATCACCATCGTGGCCGAAGCCTACCAGCTCCACAAAGAGAACCCGGACGTGGTGGAATACGTCTGCTCTTTCTTCATGGATCTTGCTGAAACAGGTGAGAAGCGAGTAGCCTGCATCAGAATTTATGTAGTCTGGAGTCCATTACTCACTGAACTTGAAAAAGATCATTTAACAGCAACAAATAAATTATATACAGTAGGCTTGCGATACCAATAGTCTTTTTCAAGACTACTCCAACAGTCCTTTTCAGGACTACACACACTCAAGAAAGAAAGATTTGCGAGAGTCTTTTTCAGGACTTCCCAATCCTCCCTCTCTCCCTCACGTGGTACTACCGCAAGCCTACTGTATATCTACATCACCATGCAAGCCGATACTTGTACGCAGAAATGAATTTTATATTGCTTTGTATTTTAGGGATCCCATACTTATATACTCTATTATGATTATCACCTTTAAATACTCTTTGGTTAAGACCTGTTTGAAGTTTGAATACCATTGCTCTTAATAAAATCTAGGTTAAAGTTACTTTAAGGTACTGCAACTCCTGTTTTGCAGTTTCTATCAAACTTTGCATGAACTTTCGATAGGTGGTATCCCGAAACACAAGTTGTTAAGCACAGGCAAGACAGAGCATGCCGTTTGATATCTTTTGTTCAACAAAAATTTAAGTAGAATGTTTAAGGTCAGATGGACTAAGTCTTGACTGAACTCTGGGTAATCGGAGTATGAAAAATACATGGAGAACGGGAAATAAAAAGTTTATGTGGAGATATTAATCTTGTTTACAATGTTTTATGATTTCCACAGAGGATATTTTAGAGGATATGAAAAGCATGTCAAAGGTCAAGGACATCATCAAAGAAGTGAAGGTCAAATACGCTTCGAATGAGGTAAGTCGAGTCCCTGATAAATCATGACAACAAAATATTTATGTTTTGAGGACGTAAATGTAATGACCATTTCATTATTCATGACCTGTCGACTTTTCTTCCGACCATACACATTTTGGAGAAATATAACTCCTATTTTTGTAAAACTAGAAATTCTAGCAAATACTGTGCACTAGAATGCCAGAGAATAGAGATATGTGGAGAAAGTTGCAATCAACTTCCAAGCTGGGAGAGATACCTTGGTAGATAGATAGATAGATAGAAATTTTAACATTTTCAAACACCTGTAGTGTACTTCAATAGAACACTCCTATCAATATCATCTATTCAGAGAAGTAACATTTTCCGCATCATCTCCATTGTCAGATTTTTGATTTGTTGATGATATTTGATGTGTCATGTCCCCCCCCCCCCCTAAACTGTCAATTATCAGAGGTTGTAAATCTTTACATCCACCAATACTCAGCATTATTCATATTGCTTTTCCTTCTTATTCTTCTCTTTCCCTTTCCTTCTTTGCCTTTCCTATCTTGTACCATTTCTCCTCCTTTCCTTCCTTCATTCCTATTTTCACCTTTACCCTCTTCTGCCTCCCCCATTGTTCTCACTTTGTTTTCCCTTGTCCTCCTTTTTTGTCCAACTCATCCTTTTCTTTCCCTTCTCATTCCTCTTTTTGTCCCCCCCCCCCCCCCCCCCTATCCATCTCCCCCTCTTTGTCTCTCTCTTTCTCTGTCACTCTTGCTCTCCATCTCTTTGTCTCTCCTCTCTCTCTCTCTCTCTCTCTCTCTCTGTCTCTCCCTCTCTCTCTCTCTCTCTCTCTCTCTCTCTCTCTCTCTATCTCTGTCTCACTCCCTCTCCCTCTTTCTTTCTTCTCACCCCAGGATATCATGGGAAATGTAGAGATGGTAGACTCGATGATATCGGGCGGTCAGCCTCCAGCAAACAGACCAAGCTCTGCCAGACCCAAGGGCAAATAGACCCTAGCCCTTACCGATCGCCGGACAAGCTAAAGCTGCCATTTGATGTCATGTACATGCACAAGAGACCAAACTCCATTTATCAAGCATCTTTCAATTGTTTACTGTAACCATTGTATAGAGATACAGTTACTTTGATTGATTGATTGATTCAAATATATTCCATTTCATATCAATTGTTTGCACAATAAAGAACATAGTTGACAAAGTAACTTAAAACTTATGAAATGAAACAGGAAAGCATAGCTTGTTTTGTAGGTTCCCAAGAATAAATATAATATGAACTTTCTGTGGTTTTGTGATCAAATTGAAAATTCGATCAAAAGAGTTCCTTTTCACTTTGATTTCATGTTATGCAAAATTAAGATATCTGCCTTTATAACAAGATCAAATCATTTTGAGATAGAGATATTCTTATGCAGTCTATGGATGCACTTGCGAATTAAGCTGTTCAGTACTTGGAAATATGAACAAAAGCTTCGATATATAGCAAAATACACAGATTTAATTTCTAAATGTGCTATTCAGTACTTGGTAATATGCAAAACTAGTATCTGTGCCTTTATACAAGATCAAATCAAATCATTATCAAAGAGTGGAGAAATGTTAAAGCAGTTTACTGGTTCAATCTCAAGTGTGCTTTAGAGTACTCGGTCACAGAGATATTCATGTAATGATGGCTTATTATATTTACATTATATTTCGATATGACTGCATTATATATGTGTTCAAATGAAAGTAAGATACCATCCACCAAATGGAGTGTGATAATCCGTCCGAGCAATCAATGACTTATAAATAGATGAATTTTATCAAAAATGCTGCTTAGATATTATGGAAAAGAACAAAGAATATGGAATCCTGGATTTCTATTGAAATGGGATTGACATACCCCAAACAATTATTAGAAGGAAAGAGAGAGATATATGATTCAGTATGGAAGTGTGTTCTGCAAATATTATGCTTGATGATCAGACAACTTGTGTGTCTATTAAGACTCACATTTTTATCTTTTTTGGGGTGTAATTACAAAAGGTGATTTGATAACAAAAGTAGCTGTGTGCAACATAGGTCCTATGTGTACTTGGTTATAAACTGCAGTGGGGTACAGCTGCACATGTGAATGAATCTTTATGGTGTTTTCCTTTGCGGTCTGACGTTATTAAGATTACTATAGAAAATTCCTGAAGAAGGTATCATATTTGGAATGAGTTACTTGCACAACTCGACTGGAATTCACACTTACAAGCTTGTAGCTGTTGTATCACCAATGTATGATATCTAAGCCAACATGTACACATAGAGTCTTAGGGAAAGAAAGTGTGCTATACAAGACTTTTCTAGGTATCAGTGCTACATTGCCATTGATGTTATTTGCCCAGTTACGTTAAACTTTGCATTTTATGTCTTTCAGATTCAGGAAAACTGATATTAAGTTCTTGTAAGGCTCTTTCAGATATGACACAGAAAATTTCTGCCAAAAAACGCTGCGCTTTTAAAAACAAGTCTTTATGGATGGCAACTGCGTGCAACAAAGGACTTGTTCGTATTCACTGAGCTCTGTGTTATAAAATACAGAAATATGTGGGAATATTACACTTATGTCATAACAAAAACACTGAAGGTTTTGCTGCATCATGCCTGAACAAGCCTTTAGACTTTCAAAGTGGCATGTGAAGTAGTATTTCTGTATAATGCAGATATTGAGAAATTTGGTTGTTCTACAATCATAATGACAAGTGCATTTCCTTTGTGCATGCATCAATTGAAATTAGATGAATTCCTTTCTAATAATGCATTTACTTTTCAGTAGAATTCTATTTCATGACAAACCTTGCACTTATACACCGCCTGAACAAAATATTATTCTCTGGACTGAATTCAAATGCCAAACAATTAGATCAAAATTTATGAATATTTAATTCTATCAGTCTTTCAAATGGAAGCAATGAGTTCAAGCGTTATATCTTCTCTATGCATATTCGCCGATATGTTTACAAATTTTTCTCACCTTGATTGAAATGTATGATTTTTGTAATTTTATTCTAAGTTGGATAATGTCATAAGACATAAATAAGAATGAGTTTAACCCAATCATTTTTTGTGTGAAAATAATGTAAAGATATATATTATGAGTTATGAAAAATTCACTATTTTGTTTTATAAAAAAAGAGAAAAATTATTGAGATATGTTATTAAATAATTAATATAATGCATTTGTTTTTATTCCTCAAAATGTCAAATGACCACAACCAACCACGGTTCCAGAGTAAAGTGGATGCAATGACATTTATTGCAATTTTTTATTTGTTTTTCAGAGTATCCGAACATTGAAGTTACCGGTAAGCTCATTATTGTGCTATTTGCAAAGCGAATTCCATCCATCATCAAAGCTCTTCAATTTATTCATAAATGATGATGTTATATGCATTATTGTATAATTGTGTAAAAATTGCAGAAGAAATTGTAAGTAGTGGTCGGATGTGTATATTGATTTTATTTAATCAGATTCAATCTTATGGGGAAGATGTGTATATTTTGGTAAATTTTGTGAATTTTTAAACATAATTTTGTTCTGTTGTCTTTCTATGATTGGTTCTCTTTTTCATGATCATTTGTGGCGGTTAATTTATAAATGTTTAATATCTGTCTGAATGTCTGAAAGGTCTGTGATCTAAACACTGCAAGTAGATAGCAATAGCATACAACTGCATACATGTACAAGAAGAAAACTAATTGCTGTAAATCTAAACTGTGTCTCTTCTAGTTTTGGTGCAATGGGTAATCTTAATCATGAAGAACAAGGAGTGGAATAAGATTATTCAGCTGTCTGTATTGCCATGATTTTCATAGACCTGCATTATATTTCCAGTGAACTAAAAAGCTATAGATGAGATTGGCTTGAGCCTATGTGTTGTCTCCAAACCAAATCATTTCCACCAAGTTAAATGCTATAACCTCAAAATGCAGTATATTATATGCATTTTATTTTTGTTTGTACCCCTAGCAGGGGTGAGCAGTAATGATGCACACCAATTTTTGTAATTACTGTTATGTCAAATATTTTTAATGTACTACGTTCTTCTTGATCTACTCAGAATCCGAGCCATTTTATTCACTGTTACAAATTATCCATGCATGTGGGAGGAATATGCCTTGTGTGGCTTCAATTCACCTTGTTCCACATTAGGGGGAAAACAATTCCGTCCACGTATCCTTTGCGATCACATTATGGCTTCAGTTGACCTTGTTTAACCTTTGTGAAAACAGTTCCGTCTGATCTGACTGCTTTTGGCATGAAACTATAGCCTGTTTTGGTTGAATTATACATGGATACTGTTTTAGTAATTGTGAATTAAATCATTTTGTCGGTTGTGAATAGGCTAGTATGCATGTGTCTAAGATACAATTTTGAATCGGCTAATGTTGACTTCATATATTCATATGGATGATGTAAGGGAAGTCCAGAAAAAAGACATGACAGCTCCTAGAATGTTAGAAGTTAGCCACACCTACAGTCAAACCTGTCTCAAGTGAAGGCCCAGGAGAAACACAAAAAGTGGTCTTTGTAGACAGGTTCCTTTAGTACATGTTTCAATGAGAAACCATTTTCAAGGGAAACAAAAAAAATGTCTTTGTAGACAGGTGGTTTGTCTGCTTGTCTGTCTCTTTGTATGTTAAAAGGCAAAAGACAGAAACAGTCTGTGACTCTGTTTATTAACTTGGAAGGCACAAACCTATTATTAGTACTGTTTTTAATTATCTAGCATCACCTGTGCCTGGAAGGGGAAAAGCAAACTATGACCCTTGGGTCTCTCTTTTTGGTGTGACCGAGTTAGATTTGATTTATATGTGTAGGTGTACTACTTTACAGGGCTTTCCCCCTACTCTTTATGAGTACGTAGCTGGTTGGCCCGAGTCAATACATCGCAAGCAGTGGACCATCGAAAGCACAAGGACACGGAATTTCCAATCTAGGGACTGTTAAGCCTTGACTACCTCTACTGATTAAAGAAACAGACTAGGTAAAATGGTCAAATTCGACGGAACGCCAAGAATACATTAAACAACAACAACAATAACTCTTAATGAGCGCTGTGTGGTCCTGAACCCTGTTACATGTGATTATCTTACACATGGGACCTCTATCTTACATTCTGTCCAAGGAAACATTTTGGAAATTATGTGTACTTATAATCATCTAGTACTGGTATATCTTCATTCCAATTCTATGTGTGTTTTATTGTACCTGTAGTTAGTAGAAAAATAGCACAAGATAGATGTCTTTCAGTCAAATAATCATTTGATGTCAAAACAGAAATTTATATATAAATGGCGGGAATTTGAATAATGTACTATATGTGCTAGAATATGTTACAAAGTTGGCCTTATATAAAGGGGAAAAAATATATGAAATACAGATTATGTGCCTCATGAAATGATGAAAAAGGTATATTTGTTTAGATATATATGTATGGTCAGTGTTCAGTTATATCGTATGTTTAGATAAAGTGGTACTTTGTTGAATATTATAGAACAAACATAAGTGAGATGTTACTGAGATATTTACATGGACAAATTATTATCAATGTACGATGTGATTCAATAATAGATATTACAATGTTGGTTATTGGGCTATAATCTTTCCAATACGCAAATATTATAAATATATGGACTATGGCCTTTTTCAAAGATGTACCGGTACTAAAATAAGAACAATTTCATGTTCGTGTTACCGTCCAATGATAATAAAGAACATTATTCTATTCACTTCAATGGTTTTTGCTTTTGTGAATTACCTTTTTTTTATGAGAGCCTATAATGTATTAGAAAATAATGTGTTTTAGGAATATGTAACGTTTGTTAATTTTTATAGAGGTGGCTCTTATGTATTTGTAAGAATGTTTGTTATGTGTTAATGGTGGTCATTGCATAACTTTATGTTCATGTATCTTTATTATACATTGCACATGTAGATGATTCAGTTAGAAGGGAGAGGAACGAGAGAGTAAGAGAGAGAGATATATGGAAGAGGTAGGGATGAAGAAAAAACGGTAGAGATTTTGAAGGACATGGGGGATAAAGATAGATAGGTGATGGGAAGAGGCAAACAGATGGAGAAGCAAGAAAGTGAAAGGAGGAGAGGGGTTAGGTGAAAGAATGGGAGTGTCTGAGTTAAAGAAATATGGAAGAGAGATAGACAAAGGGGGGATTAGAGTGAGCAAGATATGGGAGAGAGAAGAATGGGGGAAATGACAGAAAGAAAGAGCTTAGAGAGAGAGAGATTGATAGAAAAAAAGTTGAATCAAGAGACAGATGTAGAGGGGAGGAGAGAGAGAAAAAAAACAATAACAGAGGTAGAAATAAGGGTGAGATATTAAAGAGGAGGGAGAGAGAGAGAGAGAACGAGATCGGGGGAGGGAGTGTCAGAGGGTATTGACAGGTTTAACACTTCACCCTCAAAATTATCGAATTTAATCATCTAATGAATCATAACTCTTACCACTTCTTATAGGTAATTGAATTCATACCTGACACATACAGTCTTTGATTAGGTCAGTCATGAAAATCCATCTCTTATTAACATACACCACCTTGTTTAACAGAGGTGTTTAACTCGGTCACCCCAGGTCGCCATCCAGTTATTATTTTTTTGTCATGTTTCATTAATTTCGTGATACCAGTTTTCTTGTCCGGTCCAATTATACACAACACACCGCTGATCATAACAGCTGGACATTTCGCTCGCTGCGCAATCATGCTGTCCCCATGGCAACCGATTGTGACGACATTGAATTACGTCACACGGGGAATGGGTTGTGAAGTAGGGGACGAAGTGCTGTCGGGCAAAAGGAAAATAATGGCCCGTACATGATGTTTTCTGGGATATTAAATTCCAACCTCGTTTATCCGAGTATATGGTTTATTTTTTTCTATCTATAAAGTTCTCTCCCGTCGCCGCCACTCGATGAAATGTAGCTGATGTATTTTTGTAGCGACCGAAATAGCACTTTGTGAGTTGATAGGTGCATGACATTTTGAACGGTTACCTCATTTTTCGTTTTATGCATGCATGCATTTTTACCTATTCACTTTCAGCTCCCTCCTAAACATGTCATGTACTTTTCTTGTGAATTATCATTATGATCTTAATCTTATCCCTTTTCTTAAAAGTTAATATTAATCCTATTCTTATACTTATTTTGTTTCCTGTTCAGATATTCCTATATCTATTTCTATCTATATTCATATATTTGTCCTTTTCCTTATCCTTAAAATTATCCTTGTTCTTATCGTTACGCTGATCTTGAACCTTATCC